TCATGAGCAATGTCAACAGTAAATTGGGCTAGCCATTGAACTAACAGAGGTAAACTCCAAGCAGAAAAGTAAAAAGGAAAAACCACAACCTTCAGCAGTAGTGCATACACCTCAAAAAACTTCCACATCTAACGTATTTTTATTGATCGGTAAGTTCAGTTTGAAATTCACTTCTACTTGTTTCTTGGTACAGCTCATACAACGAAACAGCTCTCCACCCTAACCTGTAGTGTGTATTAATATGCAAAAATTGCAGGACATATGAGTTAATCAAGTCTGGTAGGAGAATGCATGTATGCATCTATTGTCTACCACTGCTACAGATGTGCCAGATCCAGGCAGAGATCTACAATAATGACAGTTCTGTAGCAACTTCAGACTTGGTGCCATCAGTTGGTTTGGTATTTTGGAAGTGGGAAAGGTTTGTATTAGTGTGTACTCAGATCTTGAAACTGGGCTGCCAAGCTGTAACTTCTCTATCAGCCTGTGGTAATGAAGAATATTAGAATTGAAGACCAGTCCTGATAGAGGAAGGAGGAGAAGAAAACGCAAAAATAAGCAAATCCAAATTGAACTCTTTGCTTTTAATTTTGCTTGAAATTAAAACCACTGATTGATTAAAACCAGAAGAGTTTGAGTTGGATGTGCCTCAATACTTTTACAAATAAATCACGGATTATTTATTTCCAAATAAATATGGAAAAGCAGGCTCCCAGGACTTGTGTTTGAAAGGAAACAGGGTTTGTTCTTTGTCCAGTAGTGTAGCAGTGAAGAATATTTACACACTAAATTCTGCATGATGGCTTCCTTTGAATCGCTGGTTTTGTTAACCTTAAACTGCTTAATTCTTTGTCTGACATTGCATCTTGAAAGCACCAAAGTTTTTGCTACTTTATTTAAACAAATGTTGCTGTTTGTTCTATTGTGATTACTGTTGAAAAGAAACATAGTGAAGAAGATGGAAATCACAGTGCCTGTTGCACAACAATTGCTTTAATGTAAAGGTGCACTACTGTAAGAATGTAAGAAAGTTAAAAAGCGAGAGGAAGCTGGTCAGCACATGTTGCTTGCTTTCTCACTAACACCCAGCCATTTCTTGAAAGATCTGTTGAAATCAGTTTTTTTAATTTGGATACTGTCTAATTCCCCCTCCGTGCACTTTCTGTTCTACATAGGAGAGTAATTAATTAGTGCATTGATCAGTTAGTGACACTGGTCTTCTAGGGCATTCATTTACTTTGTAAACCTAGATAAGAAATGTGCAGCTGTTACTGTATTATTACTATTCCTGTATTTTGAAATACATCTGAAAACATCCGTGCAGCTTTTATTCAATGTGTTGAATACATTTCAAGTTAAGCGGCTGGGGACAGTATTCATCTGGATTACAATGTGAGTGGTTGTCATCCAAAAATAGGTACCAGTCTCATACCTCTATCTGTCAGAAGAGAAAGAGGATTTAGACTAGTGTGTATAAGGCAAGAAGCCAAGTCAGCAATAGCTGATACTACCCTTTAGCATTTCTGAGGTATGTTGATTGGGATCCATTTTGTTTAACGGACGTTTTAACTGATTTAATAGATTGTTGATAACTTCTTTCTGTTATCTATGATCTTGCCATTTCTGTCATTAGGTCTCTGTGAAGCACCTCAGGAAAATTCCACAAATTCCAAGAGACTGCAGTTTGCTCTTGACACACGCATTTTATATTTGCCTTTCGTCAATCTGACCAAACAGCAGGAAAATGCAAGGGGAGCTGCAAGTGTAATAGAAGATTCAGTCCAGTTATGCAGAATTCAAGTTTGATGTTATTAAAGTTGTGCAGTGGCCATAAATGCTGCTTGGAAGGCCTAGAGTGTTCTTCTACTGATCCTAACACTCCTCTTAGTGGACATATCTGGAATTACCCTATGCCCTTGGGACAATTAATCTAAATTAATTTCTATTAAAACTGCAGTGTTGCTGTATGGAAAATGTTGTTAAACGTTTGCTGCTCATCTTCTGACCTGTTATGTACCTGCAACAGTCCAATTACAATCCTGATTGCTTTACGGACAATTGGAGATACCATGGTCTGCATGTATGAAGAATCACAAAAACAGACATGATTCAAAAATAACCATGTCTACTGGAACCCTCTTCCCTCACTACCCCATCATATAATATTACCAACCACCTAATCTGTGCAATCTTCTTGTTCACAGCTTCCTTAACCACCCACAGCAACTATCCACACCAGGCACTTTCCCCTGCAACAGAATCCACAGCATCACCTGCAAATATATATCTGATGCAACACACATTCAAGGCCCCTCTGGACAGTTCTGTGTTACCCAGATGACATTATTTATTTTTCAGAAAGCTCATTTCAGGGAACATGTCTGCGAGGATCGCAGAGAGCTGTGAGGATCAAAGATCTCTCCAAATGGATAGTCCCCCATTTCACCTCTAATGGCCAGTCTTTCTGATCTCTCCATGTGTGCCCCTACACCAGGGTTTTGGAACTCCTATTACAGAAAGACATCCAAAACCAAAATTATTCTCAGACTTCGGACCACACCTTCCTCATTTTCTCAGCGACAGACTCATCTCCTTCTAAATCCACTCAGTTGCAGATTTGAGTATTGCACATTTCTCCTCTCATTCCCTCTTTATGTGGAAACTCATTCTCACTTCCTATATGCCCCTTTCACCACTGGTCCCTGCCCCTTCTTACTAACTCTGTCTTTTGTTCTCCTATGCCTTATTTCTTGGCTACTTTCACTCGCTCACACCTGAAGAAGGCTCCACAACCAAAACATAGTGTTTTTTTCTTTAACTTTCAGCATGGAACGAACCAGTACCTGTTCCTCTACATGATAAAAATGAGTCTAGTAATAATAATAACCCCTTACATTAACATAGTGCTTTTCTGGACACTCCACTCAAAGTGCTTGGTAATGGGCACTCCCCTCCACCACCAATATGCAGCACCCACCTGGATGATGTGACAGCAGCCAGAGTGCACCAGTATGCTCACATCAGCTATCAGTGTGTAGGAGAGCAGAGTGATGAAATCAGATGATAGATTATTAGGAGGGATTGGGGATTATTAGGAGGCCAATGGGAAATTTGGCCAGGACATAGGGGGTAACACCCCCACTCTTTTTGAGAAATGCCCTGGGATTTTTAATTATCATGGAAAGTCAGGACCTTGGTTTTATATCTCATGCGAAGGATGGCACTTTTTTACAACATAGTGTTCTTGTCACTATACTGGGGCATTAGGACCCACCAGACCACACGGTGAGCACCCCCTGCTGCTGGCCTCACTAACACCTCTTCCAACAACAACCTTAGCTTTCCCAGGAGGTCTCCCATTCAGGTACTGACCAGGCTCACACCTGTGTAGCTTCAAAGGGCTGTCAGTTGTGAGTTGCAGGGTGACATGGCTGCTGGCATGGTGGTACTAGTAGGTGTGAGGGTGATGCTTCTTGGTTGATTCAAGCAAAAGTGCCATATTTACTTCAAGTGTATAGCTTGAAAACAAGCAACAATGTTCTATATTTTCACATCCGTTTATATTCACACAAAGGAATGCAAGAGTCTAGATCAATCTACTGAGCTATGTTATTGCAGCACTGGGGTCTTTTAAGAAACAGCTGGGCACTAGAAACCAAATGAGCTAGATTAGCTGAAAATCCTCCTCTGTTTTGGAAACTTTTTCAAGGTCTACTTAGGTATTATTAAACCTTACAAGGAAATAAATCTTTAATTAGCTAAACAAAAAATAGATCATTTTAGCTTGCATAATTATTTAAAAGGCGATGACTACATCAATGTGGTTTCAAATAAGACATGTTTAAAATTAACCAAGAAGCCACTTAATAATAGTTAGAGCACTTTTAAGTATCTCCAGTACCGCTTTGGACTGGAGTCCAGAGAGGTGTAAATATTTGCTTTTGCGTGAGACATTGAAGAATAGAACTATTTCGGCAGATGACTGCTACAGTTCACAGATGTGTAAAATACCTCTTATTCCCAACAACACCTGCGCTGTAAAAAAATCCTTAAAAGGGAAGGATTCTGGTGTGTCTCATGCCAGGATTACTCTTAGGCAGGCATATCCTGTCTGGCTACAATTTCATATCAGCAGGGATCCCTGGGAATGAAACAGCATTAATGCCCCAGGCTCTCAGGCTTGAGTCTCATGCCTGCAAAAGACCCAACACCTCTGCTCCACACTGTGTCCACCTGGCTTGTGGTGTTTCACTTTTCTTGCCTTAAATCCTGCTGATCTCCTGTACCACAAAGATTGTCCCTGTTTTTTTTTCTTCTTTGATAATAAAAGCTTACAAACGGGCATTTTTTTGTAACAGAAGAATCACGAGAAGAACAGAAGAATGGTTATGCTAAAAAAGATCATCTAAAGCATGTATGTGCTAAACAACACTGTATTGTAAGACTTAAACAACCTAATCATTCCATGGTACTAAACTTTCTCCTTATTTTAATTTGAGCCTTGAAATTACTCGCTATGCATTCAGAAACGACAAGATGCTCCCAAGCACAAATAGAGCATGCATTTTTCTTTCAGTATAGTAGAGTAGAAGTGTCTTTTTTTGTTGCTCAACTTTCTCCAGCAACTGTGCATTTGTTCTAATAGAAGCTGAGCAATAGAGACTTCGACAGGTAGTCACTGAGGCACACTTGATAACTAAGGAGGTTGTCCTCAGATTGTCTGGGCTTTTATTTCCGCTAGCAGAATTGAATGACACCTCATCACAAATCTCAGTCTTAGGCCAAACTAAAAGACATATTTAATATACATGGACATCTGCTGCTCAGGCTTGAATAAAACTCAAACACGGTTCTTGAATGAACTTACACCTTTCATGACCGCTGTTTCAGCTCCACAATGTCGTCGCGCGCCAACACACGCACCGGATGTGAAAGTGCTCTATTCGTTCTCTTGAAAAGAAGAGAACACGTGCTCCTAAAACCGGATGTTGACATTTTACTGTAGCACAGCACAGTGAAGTACCTCATCGCCGTTTGCAGATAGAAACTTTATTCTTTTTTTCCATGCTCCCTTCTTGCAGCTAAAGAAAAACAGCTATAAGTGAGTTATTTTCTTCATTTTAAAGAACATTGACATAAAATGTGCGAAGCCACGTTAACACGTTTTAAACACGAAATGGTAATAAATAAAAAGTTTAATCAGTGGCTTTAGCCAAGCTAACACTTTTCCAAGCCAGTCGATTTATATATGTTTTGTATTTTAATGTTATATTTTAGATCTAAAATATACAATAATTCAATATATTGATTTATTTGCTACCATACGGGTTCCAAATATATAATTAGTGGTTAGAGTAGAGAGGAATACGTTTTCTATTCTGTTTGAACAGAAACGACGTTAACGTGTGTTTGTGTGGAAAAAGTATACGAAAACTAGTATCAAAATACAAATGATTCTTGTATTCGGTGGTGATGCAAGCTTACGCATTTTTATCCGCAAATATTACTTTTTTTGGTCTTGAAATTGTCTGCAGTTTTTAAAGCCATATGTATTTGAGATGTAGAAGCACGACCCGGATTTCAAGTCGTGAAATCAAGTTGGACAGGCTCATTTGGCAGACCGCGTCGTTTTATATTTTAATATGATAACAAAAACAGATGCATTCCATTTTCTAAGAGGGAACGTTTGTCTTCGTTCCTAGTGGAGTCCACGATGACATCGGCTGAGGCCGGAGATCCGACCTTGAAAAAGCCCGATCCCCTTCCTCGGTCAGTGACCCTTTTTGTGAACGATGTGGGCTCCCCCATGCGCTTCTACCTGCGCCCCGGCCCGGCTAAGAGCCGCTTCGCCGCACTGATCGAGGCCGGAGGCGGGATGATGTGCGGGGTCCAGGAGCCGGGCGCCATTCTGCTTGCTGATCCGAAGGAGTTGAATGGGAAGGCTGCTGCGGGCTACGTTTCTACCCATTACATACTGGACTGCGTGGGGAAAAATGAGCAGCTGGAAATGCACGACTACAAGCTGGGCCAAGACCACGCTGCTAGCGCGCCCTCTGTCAGTAAGAAGAAGAGGAGCACCTCTGGGCGAATGGGGTACACCAACAGCGAGGACGCTGCCATTCTGCAGTACCTGAGCAGGCACAAGGGTGAAGTCAAAGGGAACCGTATCTGGCAGGCCATGGCGAGAGAGGGCATCACCAGTCACAGCTGGCAGTCCATGAAAGACCGCTACCGCAAGCACTTGCAGGGCCGGCCGGTGCCGCAGCCAGATGACCGCGAGGAGAAGGGGGAAGACTCTGACGATCAGGACAGGACAGAGAAGGAGTCCTCCGGAAGACCCATTCAGCCACCCCTGGTGGAGGAGAATGGCCCCGAGTCTCCAGGATCCTCGGACGAGCCCCCTGGTAAACACACGTCTCGGATAAGCTTAGTAGAAAGGAGGTTTTAGCTGCAGATCTGTTCACATTAAAGTTCTCTTTTTCCCCTTTTTTTGCTCCTGTTGATCCACATAGATTCTTTGTTTCCTAGCTCTAGTTAACCCCCATGCACCAGACTTTGACTGACCTGGGCCAAAGGGTTCTTCATTGTGTCACCAAGGGGTTCTAAAAATACACTCTCAACAGGCTTTATTGGCATAATGTATTACAAGGTGTTGCCTTCATGCATGCCTTCAACTAGACTAGGGAAAGTCCTTCTTTTTCAAGTACTGGTATTGCAGTACTCTTGTCTGTTGAGATCTCTAAAGGCTGTGGTTTGAGATGAATTAAAGAAACCTATTCAGAATGCAGGATCCTGCTCTGCGGTCCTGATCTTTGACCACCTGTGCCCTCATTTAGACATTCTTCAAAGCCTGCATTCTTTAGATTTAATAAACCTGTTCTTTTAGAACTTCAAGTAACCTCACCCGAAAGTGACAAAAACGTGGGTTTTTTTTTTCTCCTGCTGCAGCTGGGAACGATGTGGCGCCGGAGATGGGGAATGAGAAGGAGGAGCAGTGCCAGGTGACGAGCGCAGAGGAAGAGGAAACCAGTGAGGAGGAGTCAGTGCAGAGGCTTAAGCAGGTGAATAGACAGGAACTGAAGAGGAAACGAGGGAGTAGGGAAACGGCGCAGGCTGTAAAGACATCCACACCCAAGCAGACAAAAACAAACATTTTGAAGCAAGCAATCCGTGAATTTGAGGTAAGTGATGCACTGTGGGGTTGGAAATTCCCCCACTTGCTCTCTCGCTTAGTCCATGTGATCAGGTGGATTCTGCCTTAGTTGTTTAGAATTCCCACTTACCTTTTCTAATTTACATTACCTTTCCCTTACTGCACTCTGTAACCCTTGATGACACTGTTTTGATAGAGAATGAGTGTATAAAGTGATTCCAAATTGTGAAAGCCAAAGCTGCAGCAAGTGATTCTTAAATCTGAAGGAAGATTTATTTCTTACTGGGAATCTAGCCACGTGGATCAGAGTTTGCATTGTTTCATATAATTTAATTTGTTGACACTTTTCATTTATGTTTTCTTGTGGTGCAGATGGCATTTGCTAAAGTGGAGGTGGATCCTGTTAGCATGTATAAATATAATTGTGTAGGTTTGTGTTATAAATGATGACATTTGTTGAAAGTTGCCTGGTGAAACCTCACGGCTGGTGGCTTCTTTGAGATAATTTAGCATTACTCCTTAATCTACTGAGGAATTGCAATTGTTTTGGACACTTCTGTCTTAGAACCAAAGGTACATACATGCATGCTTTCTCCGTTACTTTATAATAATAATTAATAATTGCTTACACTTATATAGTGCTTCTATAGACACTCCACTCAAAGCGCTTTATAGGTAATGGGGACTCCCCTCCACCACCACCAATGTGCAGCATCCACCTGGATGATGCAACAGCAGCCATATTGCGCCAGAACACTCATCACACATCAGCTATCAGTGGGGAGGAGAACAGTGATGAAGCCAATTCATAGATGGGGATTATTAGGAGGCCATGATTGGAAAGGACCAATGGGAAATTTGGCCAGGACGCCGGTGTTACACCCATACTCTTTTCGAGAAACGCCCAGGGATTTTTAATGACCACAGAGAGTCAGGACCTCAGTTTTACATCTCATCCGAAGGACGGCGCCTATTTACAGTATAGTGTCCCCATCACTATTAGGTATTAGGTATTAGGCTGATATTGAAGAGCAAATAAGAAAGAAGCAAAGAAAGAGTGTTATCAGACAAAAAGCATACAGTTCCACAGCCAGCTTCTATCGTTCTGTCAGATCAATGAACTTTCCCCCATGCTGATTCCACCATGACAGGAGGTCTGACAGTTACAGTTGATAATGAGCACAAGCTGGTTTCATACCTGCAGTTTCCAGCCTTGCTGAATCTCAAAAGGAGGTGGATTTATTTCATTCATGCAGCTGAAGTAATTAAGTGAGGTGTGTGTACTGACACATCTTTCTGGTGTTACGCCTTTTGGTGTTAAGATATGAATGATGGAGAAAAAAAAGGTGTTTTTTCTTCTCAGTGTCAGGGTGTCTTTGAGTAAAGATTAGTGTGGAGATGTTGGTGTGCATCAAAGATGTGGAAACATACATCCAGTTGAAGTAAAAAATATCTCGATTGAATCTAGTGACCTGGCGATGTATATTTAATAAAATGATCTTTACGGTGTTAGTATTTCATGAAGTACTTCTTACATAAAATGGTAACCTTTCAGTTAAAAAAATCAAATAAGAAGTAAAATTTAAGTGTGGGTAGCTTTTATTTCAGCTACGTTTTTAGTACTTGTAGTGCTTTAACAGAGGCTTTTCTTATTGCAGTCTGATGATGAGACTCCAGAGTTAATGATTACCAACGTGCCTCAAAATGAGCCCCGTTCTCCAGAAAGTGGACCTCCTCTCCAGAACCAAGAACAAGATATTCAGACCAGAGAGGTGGAGGGCGGGCACCAGACTCCGCCTGAAGGCATGGAGGAAGCCCAGTGTAGTTCTCCTGCCAAAGTCCAGGAGACAAGGGCTTTGGCACAGGAGGACGGCATCACTGAAAAGATCAGCGTGAAAGGGTTTGTCATGAATAAGGACTCACAGATCCAGGTCGAGGAGATGCTGGCCTCCCACGCCAATGAGACGCCTCCTCAAGAAGCAGTGCAGGAAGCCATCAAGGCTGTCCATTTCCTTATGGAAGAATGTAACCTGAGCTTTGTCAAGGCGATGCAGATCCTCCTGAAAAACAGTGGCGACTTCCAGGCCTCCCTTCACTACCTGCGCACGGGTCACCGGCCAGACCAGCTGCCCCTCTGGACTCACGAGGATGACTGCGTTTTGTTGTCAGGCGAGTCCAGCAGCCAGGATGCCCTTATTGAAAAATACGGGGAGGATGGCTTGGCAAAGAGAATTGCTTTCCTTCTTGGCACAGATTGAGCCGATCAAGGACAGAGGATCTTCTCTGGGACCGCTCTTTTAGAACGTTTTGCTGACTGTTGCAGCTTACTTTTGTAAACCCAGTGCAAAGTGTTGTTTATTGATGAGCGTTTTTTCATCTTGTGTTCCAATCTATGTCCTGGGTTTATGGAAGGGTTCTGGCTTTGAAAACTGTATTTCAAAGTGTTTGATACTCTTGGGTATCTTAGGTAGTGTTCAGCACCATTCTTGACTTCCAGGTGTCATGGTGAGTAACTCTTCTTCAGGACTAATCCAATGCAGTGTATTCAGATTCACTATTCAACTATTGATCATTTTTCTTCATGCTTTTATAAATCATTTTAATGCATTTATTCCTAGTCCTAGTTCCTCTTGCACTTATGGTAACAGTGTTGCAGCTCCAACTCTCCTTTATCTCCCAGTGTACCCAGGTTTTTGATTCATCCGGCCCATAATTGCATATTTGAACATCTGCACTGATTAATATAGCATGTAAAGCACACCTGTACTGGATTTTGAAACATGTCTAGGTACAATGAGTGCATCATCCATTTGAAAGCATTGTTGATTTTCCAGTAAAATATCATGTGGAGATTGGATTATAACCCTTGGAACAGTATGGGGACCCAGAACTGGTACTGGTATTGGCTAAAAACGCTGAATTACAGATTATAAATACCCTCCCCTAGGGCTATGCACATAAGTCTCTTTCTTTGTACATATTTTTAGACTTTGAAATATTTGTAAATGTATGTGGTTCTATGGAAAAATGTAGTTATACAGTGAATCAAATAAATTGCCATGTACCTATATAAAATATTCCACATTTGACAAAATTGTAAATGACCTAAAGTATGAAATGACAGTCATGAATGTGATTGTCTTGTTCTAGTGATAGATATGCCTTTAATGTATATGTACGTGGATATTGTTAGTTTTTTTTCACATGGCACTCTACTGCTAATAAATGTGAGCAGTGCTTTCTGCATATTAATAATTAGTGTTACTGTGTCTATTGTAATGTTTCTGTTGTTCATATGCATTTGACTTCATTTTCATTTAAGCTGCACCAGAGATGATCTAGTCATTTGTATGACTGGATGTCGGAGTTTGACTTATGGGTTCTGTTTTGTGTATAGACATTGTTTTCACAGATTTTGTCACAGTCTCTTTTTGTCCAAGTAAACTGAATCTGAACCCCAAAATGTTTTTGACATGTGAAATTTCCAATTATAGCAAGTCAGAATACTTTGTAATACAGCATTGTTTTCTGTGCATTAAGTGAATTTTGTATATTCAACATTTCTAAAAAATATATTTTTTAATATGTGGTTAATTGGGGGGGGTCATAAGGCATTTATAATGATTTAATCTGTATAATCTGTGAAGTTTATTATTTTGTTACATACCACTGTATTTAATTTTAAAAAACTGATGAAAGTGAGCAAAACTAGGTGTACCTTTGAGTCTGGAATTAGTCATCTCTACATTAATACTGTTAGTTTTTTATTTACTGAAAACAAAAAGTTTTTCTTTCCATGAATGTTTCTGATGTTTGGCAGGATGAATATGAATTTCGTAATATACTTTGCAAAGATAAAGATGAAAAAATCCCACATATTTAAGATTTAACCATTGAATCTGAAAAGTTGGGAATGTCTTATACCTGCACTGTTTTCCTGATCTTTATGACTTTAAAGTGATTGCAATTTCTCGTGGTAGTTTTATATGATTTTGTTACTTTTGAAATGGTTAAAACTGAAACACTAGTGAATGTTCCTATAATCAGTATTTCACAATGCTTCGCACAACATCTGGTCTAGAGATAAAGGTCAAGGAATAAAGAAAGAATGAATCTGAATGATCACTGGACATACCGAATCAATCAATGGCAAGAAATGCCTGACCTTTCAGAACTGGGTTGAGTAGCGAATAAAAATTAAATTAAAATTGTTCACATCCCAGTTACACATTTAGACTTTTTTGTGATCCCTACTCTCTCTGTTCGCCAGAGATGGAGCACTTTCAATATCATGTCTGCTTATATCACAAATTGTGAAAAAGTTTTGTAAGACAACACAAATTATCTTATAATTGTTAATTTTTATATTGGTATGTTAATGTACAGTATTTACCCAAACCTGATGGCTTTACTAAACTTATAGGCAAAGTACAATATTCAATTAGCCTATTTAACCTAAGTTTTCCAAAACTAATTTCTGGTCAGAACCGCACCAGTTATTTGGCATTAAACGTTTTGGGAGAATTAAAAGCACCACAGCTTTGCTTGTTATTGAGCTGATGACATGTACTGTTGTAGCAGAAGGCATTACTTGTTAAAAAATCATGTTATAAATTGTCCTCGGAAAGTAAAACCAAAGATACGCGACTACCACCTATCGTCATCATTTCGAAATTTGCGTTCCACCACATTCTGGAGCCGGATATATTGGTCCTCTCGCTGCTCCGTAGATACAAATTGCTTACCGAGAGAGATTGTTGTTGTCAAAATTTGAAGAGGGAGATAGGATTGTTAGCCGTTTCTTCCTCCTTTTTCGCTCTGATCACTGACTGGACTAACACCGAATTAGGAAGAGACGGGACACAGTCATACACAAGACGGAGAGTGAAACCAGCCAGGGCACCGTGTATGTAATTTTAATTATCTAAAATAAGCTTCAATGGCTGTCTGCGAGTGAGTGTGCATACAGAATATGCGAATGGACATTCAGTGTTTGTTTATAATATCTGTTTTTAACAATCTATAGGTGTTGTATAATGTTTCTAAATATTATTTTTTCAAACCGCCTCCTGTACATAACAAATCCCCATCTGTTTGCTTTCACTTGATCAAACTGGCTAATATGTATCTGTGCATGTTACAGTATGAAGCACAAAGCTACAGTATGTGCACTTATCGTCAGTTTATTAAAATTCCCAGTTCCGATTATTACTGTATTTCCTGGGAGTTTTTTAATATTTTTTGTACGAGCTGCGTTGGATCGGATAGTCTGTATCCTCGAGAATGAAGGACAGTGCTTACAAAAGAAGTATTTAAAAAAAAAAATAATAAGAACGATTAAAAGTATAGGTTATGATATTAAGATAATTTTTACGTGCGACTGTTTGCGCAAAACTATAACCTTTATCTTTAATAAAGGTAAAAAAACTTTACATTTATAGGGATGTAAAAGGATGTTATGGAAAAAACGCCTCTTCTGCTGGTCCTTATGAAGGCAGTGGGTGTACACTAATCAAACTCACTATACATTAATGAAACCAGAACAAACGCACAACCAAGAGGAAAATTCAGGGCAGTAATACTTTAAAATTGAACTTAACTGAAATTGAATAACTTATTGTTGCGATGTGATAGTCAGGAATGTTGAATTGTGGACTGTAAAATTATTTCCGCCATGGTCAGTACTGACACCTTTGGGGAGGGAGAAACCTTGAAGAATACAGTATATAGTCATGTCCAATTTTCCCCACTCCCGTTTCTGTTTATATCATGAAGAAAAATCTGGCTCACTCACTCTTCCTATCCAAATCCCAAACTGTTTTTTTTTAGAAGAACAGCATCAATCCCAGTTAAAAATGGCACTTAGAAGTCCTGAATGAAGAAGCAATGACGCCGTGTCCAGGCTAAGGCTAAGTCCTTATTCTTAAAAATATTATCACGCTAATACTGTACATGTTTTTCTTTTCTTAGTTAGAACAAAATGAAATTGGGAAGTGTTTTTTTCTCATTTTTAAAAAAGAGAGGCAAGCTCATCTTGATTGAAAACACTTAATAAATGCATCCCATAACGTTTTATAGGCCTAGATGAGACCGCGTCATGAATTAGGTTAATGGAGCCCTTTGGCCTTTTTGTTTTAAAATCTTGCGACACGCCCTGTGGCAATGGTTAATGGGCTTTCAATTAAAATGTATGTGTAGTCCCAAGTGTGATATGTCATTTCAATGAAGGCATTATAATATTCAGCATCTTGACAGCTTCTCCAAAATAATGGTAACAGCACAGAACAGGCATGTGCAGAGATATTTACAGAGTCCATGCAGAAGCTTTCAGCAATGAGGTCAGCTTTATGGTGGGGTGTTTGAGTGTGAGGTGTAAGGAGGCCTCTGGTGTGTTTGTTTCAGAGCTGTCCCCTGGAGCGTGCCCACCGGCAGGGAGAATGAGCTCAAAGGGGGGTGGCACTGCACTGTCCCGCCGTACCTACAGGCTGGCCTCCGACAGTGACAAGCCAAAGGTGGCAGGTGAGTTCAGCAGTTGGGAGGGAGGGGGGTTCTCAAATCATAAGTTCATGGCTTCCACCAGGCAGTGTTGTGGAGGGGGCAGTGTGGTTGAGGTGTCACTTTTTCTTTTTTGCAACTAGGAGAACCAATGTAAATCACACCTTAAAGACTAAGTGTATTTTATCCTGCCAATCCACAGAAAACTAGACGGATCTCACAGGTACAGTTGAAACACAACTAGCTGCATACATTAGACATGGTTTAGCATTCTGAGTTTACATCTATTCCTCATTAGGAATTCAGCCTATGAAGTTTAATGGGAATGGTGAAATCCTTGTAAAATAAATTATTGCTCTGCAGCTATTGGCAGTAGATTCATTGTCTTTTACTGCTTCTGGCATTGAAGGTGTAGAATGCAAAAGCATTTTCCCCTGATTTTGTGTGTTTTCTGTATTGCTTTTGGATCACGTAATATGAAACAATTGCTATAAAGCAGGAACTAAATCTTCTATAATCCCTCAATTTTCTTGATTTTACATTTAAAAACAGATGGTATTGTACAGACTTGAAGCTTTAAATTTACATTACTCTTCCTTGATTTGATTTATGTTTTTTCAGAGAGGTTTAACCTCAGTTAAAAACTATTCTCCACAGAGAACAATTTTAACCATGACTTTGAGTTCAGAATAATTGCTGTTCTTGTGTCTTATTGGGGTGGATTTAAGTCTTTATATTTAATGTTAATGTTTTAGAAACACCAGTTACAGTTTCTCACTTCAGCAATCTAAGGGTTTTTTTTTTATTGTGGATTGGGTTGTTTGAAGAGCTAAAATCTTTATTAGAAATGTGATCCACAAAATCTCTCAATAACCTTGTCATTGGATTGGCTGATTTTTTTATTTGCATGATGCCAGGATACTGTTAGTGTTACTGTCTGCTTGATTTAACAATGAGGGCTTCGGTTGTGCCATGTAACGTACTGATGCACTACTCTGCCATTTGTTATCCATGAATTCTCAGTACGTTTTGAGTCATTTCCACCAGAAATGCTGATAATGCTGAATTAAATTTTCTTGATGGAGGTGAATGAAAATAAGCAAGTCAGCCTAGGCAACTAAAACTAGCACAGCTGTCATTCCATAGCTGGGTAAGATGTTTAGATACTGTGGCAAAATAATTAGGTTTTGCTGAAAGGTGAATCTCCGTGAAGATTTGAAGATTGTGTTAACTGTTTCAGTGGGAAAGACAGGCAGTTTATAATGTGGAAAAAGTTTACTGCTGTTCTGACAGCTCTGTGTGCTGTAACATCTTGGCTATTTAATACGTCAGCTGTGGAAGCCGTGCTCTTTAAGCAAGACCAGCTTGATTTTGCTCTTAGTGAAGAGAGGCTACAGCATTTGGGGATAGTTATGTGGTTGGAAGTGAGGAAGGAGTGTGTGGAGTGAGCCGTTCATCTCTGGGTAGTACACTTGAAGGGCACAAGAGATAAGATCACTTTACTGACCATATACAACGTCCTGCATTAGGAATTCGTCTTTTCGCATACCCCAACTTGCTCTCTGTGAGATACACAGACAGGGAGAGAGCCTGGGGTCAGAGCACAGGGTCAGCCATTGTACAGTGCCCCTGGAGCAGCAGGGGCCCAAGTAGGATTCCTCTGCTGGCCGCAGGATTTGAACCGGTAACCTTCCAGCCACAAGCGCAGATCCTTAGCCACAGAGCCACCGCCCCACCCCAATAAGGCAGTCCCCATTATACTAGCACCCTTATAAAAGATGCCTTCACCCCACCTCAGTGGATGAGAGGGTTCTGAATACATTTACTGAGATGTCAGTCTTCCCGAACACATGTTGTCTTTGTTCCCCCTCTCCAGGCATTGTGAGTGAGAAGCTTCTGAGTGACTACCTACACCATGTCTTCCCCTCCTCTGACAAGCAGAGTCAGCCAGCCGCAGCCTTCAGGTAGGCTACTGGCTCACTGTGGGCAAAGGCTTCTGTTGTGTCAACAGTGCTGAAAGGGGGGAAAGAAACGCTCTTCGGCAATGCAAAATGAAGTAGAGGTTGAAGAATAATCTAAAACGAGAGCGTTTTTTTTTATCATTGTAATATCAGTTATTACAACTATCATTCTCACGCACCACTTAAAATCCAACCCCTTGTCCTAGCTGTGGGAGGCGGAAACAGGCAACAGTACCAGATTGCCAGACATCCCTTCTAACATCAAAGCACAATACAACAGGTGGACACCTGGAACATCTGCACTACGTCTCTACAGAGTACAGACCAAGAACAAATTGAAGTACAGATTAAATGGAGAAAATGAGGCTGGATTGGGCAAACAATGAGGAAAGCAATAACTAACACCATCAGGCAAGCCCTTGCTTGGACCCCGTAGGGGAAGAGGAAACATGGAAGACCATGGAACAGCTGGAGAAAAACAGTGGAGGCTGCGGAAGAAACATGATCATCATGGAGGGTGATGGAGACAACTGTGCACTATCAAGCCCACTGGAAAACATTTGCGGATGGCAAATGTTCCCCAAAGATCAAAAGGGTTTAAGGAGAAGAAAATCTGCATCTCCGCTCTGTTGAAAAGAATATTGTTGGGCCATCTCAGTTGACAATTGGCGAAAAATAAATGCTCATCAGCATACATACAGCAATTGCTAAACTGTAAGACCAAACACTAATTAATCAGGCTCTGGGAATTGTGATCATTGTCATGTGTGAACTCTGCTTGAGGGTTTTATTATTAATTAAAGCAGCATAATTAGCAAGAGATATACAGTAGTGTTTTTAACTTGGAAGTAGAATCAGCCAAGTATAAGCCTAATGGCATGTTATATGCCAAAACGTGGAACAATACAGAAAGATGCATCATTTTAGGAGAGAAAACTAAACTTTTTTATTTTTCTTTTAAATATTGATGATATTTAACAGTTTTTATATTTAAACCTGCAAGTAAGCTCTTGCAGCAATATAAAGCAAAAATCTTAAAATTGTTAAATTGATGGAAATTAATTATGTAATCTGATTCATAATATTTCATTATGAGATAAGTACACTACAGTTCTCAATATATAAGCTTCAGATATCACATGTACGTGTTGAAGGTACAGTATAGGCAGAAGCAGAAAGACTGGGAACATGTTTACTTATTAATTTAATTGACAGATTTTTTTTTTTATCCTAAGGGGCGTAACAATTGACATTTATATCGGTGGGTATTTTACTGGAACAATTCAAGTGAAGTACCTTGATGAAGAGTACAAAAACAGTGTCTCATCTGGAATTTAAACTCTCAACCTTCCAGTTATGAGTCTTGAACCCGAAGCACTACTCCACGCTGCTGCTTGCTAGCAGGTAGCCACATATTGAGTTGAAACGGAGTTTGCTAGAATGTTTTTGTAAAATTTCTTTGAAAAAAATGTCTTTCCATAGAAGGAAATTCCTACTTCAAAAATACAAATGAACTTCATCACCTTGTAATAAATGTAGTAAAAGTATGACTTAAAGACAGTATCAAAAATAAAAATCTGTGGCCTACACAGAAAACGGTTGAAGTCAAATCGGAAGCTTTTTTATAAAATGCCATCCAGTCATCCAGGACCCAGCATTTCTCTTAACCTTTAGTGTTGCGCAGTCTTTCCACCAGCCCCCAAACCCCTGTTGCTGGGTCAGGTTTCCCTAAGAGCTCTATAGATAGAATATGAGCAAAGATGAGATGATTTGCAAAAATAGAGCAGGAAAGCAGTATGTGAGACTGACCATGTGAGCTCAGAGTTCTTCATGTGTAAGACGCCAGGGATTTGATCTCATTCCAGTGCACAGGGAATCATTCGGCCATAAAGAACCAGCCTCGGGACCTGCTCCAGTGCTTTTAGATGGGACACGGGGGACACTGGCTTAGCTTTTAAACACTGTCTCAGTGATTAGATGCTCAGGGATGTCACGTTTAGTCAACCGTACACACACTGTGGTTCTGATTTTTTATTCTGTTTTGGGGAGTTTTGTATCTCAAGAGGGATGGGTTTTGTTAGAATTTTGCCAAATCAGTTCGTTTCGGCTTGAGGAACCCCTTTCCTGTAAGCAATGTGGATGATTTAACGCCAATCTTTTTTTGTAGCGATAATTAAAAACACAGGCTTTTATACACCTGAATCATATTCTCAGTGATAGTTGTTCTTGATGTGTTTATGTTCTTGATGTAAATCTGAAGTGGTACTGAGTGATCAGTTTATTCTAGGGTACATATGTATTGCAGACCTCATCCACTAACAGCACCACTTGTTTTACCCAGTCACTGTTCTCACCAGAGCTCAGTGAGAACAGCCACATAGCCACATAGCCAGCAGCCATATCACCCTGCAGCTCACAACTGGCAGCCCACTGAAGCTAAGCAGGTGTAAATCTGGTCAGTACCTGAATGGGAGACCTCCTTGGAAAAAACTAATCTCCATCTATGAAATGGCTTCATCACTCTGTTCTCCTCCCACACTGATAGCTGGTGTGTGGTGAGAGCACTGGTGCACTATGGCTGCCGTCACATTATCCAGGTGGGGGCTGTACATTGCTGGTGGTGGAGGGGAGTCCCTGTATCATTACCTGTAGTCATTACCTGTAAAGCGCTTTGAGTGGAGTGTCCAGAAAATATAGCTATATAAGGAATAAAGTAAGTAAGGAATTATTATTATTGGAGTTTCTTGGGGCTTTTTTGATTGGCGTTGAACTTAAAAGGACGCATTAAAAGGTGAACATAACTTGTCTTGCCTGTTAATATTATGGCCTTAGAGACATATCACCAAAGTATTGTTTTCTGTTGGTGGGTTTGGTTGTACAACTGACTGAGCTGATTCTGTTCTGTAGGAAGCCACTGACATTTCAGGATTTGGGCGCTCACCTGGAGAGGCTGCTGTCTGATGGAGAGCCCACAGATGACAACAGAGGTCAGCATGGGATGCCAATTGCTAGGACAGTGCCATTCATGCCTGTTTGTTATTCTTTACAATTTAACTTGCCTAAATTCTCACTCACCTCCCCTTGTAAAAAAAAAAAACCTCACTTGCACAACGGGATATCTAATTAGATAAGTGCCCACTCTGATTTCAGAGTGAAGCAAAGCTATGTTAAAGGCTTTATGGCAGCAAAACATACTGTATATGTTGGTTATGTTGGGTGCCTGTTAAGTATGTATTACTGTGATATATACAATATGAATTTACCATATACGACTGCCCTTGTGCCTGAATGTGTGGTTTTGTACGTTCTGGGGTTACCCAGCCAAGATTAGTGCACATGACAATCTGACATACTTGTGACCTATACAGGGCACTTTTGATGATAAACTGAGAGCAGTATTAACAAGAAGACTTTCCGCTGCTCTTAATGTGTACTCGTTGTTTTTTTTACTAAATTGGGGAAATAAGCTCTTGTGCTTCACCCCAACCCTCTAAGGGTAAATCAGTCACTGGAAATAGAGGGATGGATGTGACTGTTCACTTTATTCCATTGCTCTATTGTCAAGGAAAGCATAAATGCATTTCAGTGGTAAATGTTTCATGAAAATTAGCCCTTCATGTATAATTCTCTTGTTGTACAAGCTGGTGTAGGTTTCCGATCTCTGCTAATTATTGCTCTTTTCTTTAATTGGCGACTGGAGAAGAAATGTTAGTGTTGCTAATATCCCCGAGCTGTCGTATGACTTTAGGTCTGCAATCTGCAGTCTGCTCTAGGGCTGCAATTTACTACAGTACCTGTGGATTTACATTCAATTAACTCCTTTTAAACTGATTCTCTTATTTGAGCAGTTGTTTACCAACGTCCTTATGGCTGCTAATGGCAATTGTGAGGTACAGTAATACTTCCCAAAAGCAATTGCAGTAACATAGAGCCATGGTCATTATATATGATAGGATGTTTCATGCCCTTCTGTGATTTATTATACACGTGCACCCCAGATCAAGCTGTGGATGGTCGCCTTGGCCCCTCGACTGTTGTCCTGGACCATACCAGCGGCTTTGAGGGGTTGTTGCTGGTAGACGATGATCTCCTCGGGGTAAGACCTCTCTGTATTTTCCTGCAGCGACTCATCAAAGACATGTCAGCAGTCACTAGGCACCATGTAACCATGGTACCATGGTTTACATGTCCTGGCGGTGTGCTGGAAGAGTGATCTGGGATCTACGCTTTTAAAAATGTACAGGGTATTGCTGATAAATATGACCAGCTGTAAAAACAAGACTGCATTTTTTTTTCTTCTCTTTAATCAGGTAATTGGCCACAGCAATTTCAGCTCCATCAGAGCCACAACCTGTGTTTTTAAAGGTACAATAATTTAAATTAAAAGTATTATTTTATGTTAATCACTGTTCCTAGGAGTACTGGAGTACTGTTTATATTGAGCCCTAGACTCTTTCATTAGGGAATCTGAAATGTAAACTGAACAACCTTTTCAGGCTTTTATTAGTAAATCACTATCTTGTAAAATGCCATGCTATTAACGTAAAGGATAAAGATCTAATATTGTTTTATAGAAATTATTGTAGAAAACATCATAATACTGCAAAGTAAAAATCTGTGGGCAGTTAGCATGCCTATTACAGAAGACTTTCCTCTGCTATCATAAAGGTATTTTGTGTAGACATTAATGAAACAAGATGCCGGAAAAAAAATCGTTTTGTACTCTTGTATAGGGAGTTTCTTCTTCTCCGTGCGGCCGTATCTCTAAGTACTTTAAAATAATGCCATCTGTTCTTTCACATAGCTGCTGTTTTAATCGCAGGCTATGAAATCAGAACCATCAAGAGTGTGCTCAGGGTGTCCTGGTTGGAGTAACTGTACGTGTTCTTCTGGTTAGGAAAGTGGACCTACGAGGTGCTCATTTCCTCTCAGGGGTTGATGCAGATCGGCTGGTGCACGCTGAACTGCAGGTTTAACCAGGAGGTAAGCAGGCCAAGAATACTTGCAGGCATTACGGTGCCAGTCGATGGGGCGTTTCTTATTTCCACTGACCTCCCGCTGGGTCCGCCTTCCTGATGGATCGCCTTTGAACATTCAACTGCCCCGAATGCAGGACCCCACGAAGCAAGAGGGCCGATGTGCTCCTCGAGTCTGCAGTAGCTTTTTAATCCTTCTGTGTGCTGTTTTTAGGAGGGAGTGGGCGACACACCCGACTCATATGCTTATGATGGAAACAGGGTACGCAAGTGGAATGTCACCACCACCAACTATGGCAAGGTGAGAGGACTCACTCTGTTCCCCCTGCTGCAGTGTAAGAGCTTGTTGAGTGGTACTGAATGTGGTATTTTTTTGTTAGTATAACTGTAACAGGGAAGGGACTGGTTTTCTGTGCCAAAGGGAGCTCCATATTACTTATCTGAGGCTAAACTCTTTAAAAAAACCTCTTTCAGCACAACAAAGGGAATTATTAAGAGGGTATTGAAGAAGAGGGCCTTTTCTCTTGTGCTCTAACTATAATAAAGAGGTGATTATACTATAGTTTTGAAAAAGCGTTGCTTAAGAAAGGAATGGTTTTCATATAAATGCTGATGTCTTGTGCCTCACTATTACTACATTAGAGGAATTCCTCCTGTGCTCAGTGTGTCTTGTTTTTTCTGTCCTAGTCTTGGGCTGCTGGGGACATTGTAAGCTGTTTGATAGACCTGGATGAGGGGACAATATCATTTTGCCTGTGAGTCACTTGTGATTTATCTCTAGAGTCTTGAGTGCACTCCTAGGACATCATACAGTTTTTCTACCGCAAAAAAAGCAACAGTCCCTCCTGAGCTACGTTATAATATAGTACCTACAGTACTGTATAAATGTGTACAAAATTAAAATAATTAAAAAATAAGAAAACTAAGAATGAGGGGTAATAAAATATCATGTACCAAAGCTACAAGAGAAGCTCAAATGCATCTCATCCTTAACATACTCACCTTGTGTTCATAATAAAGCTGCATGAACATAAAAAGCATATTAAGTGCTTAACCTTACACAGAGATTAATAATGCATAACGTCAAATATTGAAATGCAAACTTTATACAGTGCTTACATTTTAGTAGCCCCATTTACAGGTAAATATACACTGGCTGAATAGATTTAATATCCAGCTCACTTTTTTACTATCCATATTTAACTGAACATATAATTCTTAACCAAAGAAGTAAGTTCTACCATTTCCTGACCTTTATGTTTGGGTAGCACAAAATCATTTGAGACTGCTGCACATGTCAGATTATATTATTTATTAGTCACTGCTGTCATGTATGTATGATAATGCTATATGAGAAGGGCTGGTATGCCAAGAAAAATATCTGACACTTAAATGATGCCTGCAGGGAGTTGCCAATCCTTGGTATAAATGATCAGTCCACTTCTTGTTTTGGAAGTTATCCTGTACTTTGATAGAGGATGCAGCCCCCTGTCTCAGGGGAACTGATTATAACCAAGTGCGAGCCAGGGTCAATCAAGGAGTTTGTATGGGTTACCTATAATATGAAATAGTCTAACACTATGACTAGTTCAGGTGGGTAACTGCGTCAGCATGCGTAGGCTGCAAAGGAACAAGTAATAGGTTTATTCCATGCTGAAAAAAAGAATAAAGAGAACTCAACGTTTCTTTCTTCTTTTTTTCAGCATGGAATAAACCTATTACTTGTTCCTTAACACTATGACTGTCACAAATGGGCCTCAGCCTTCTGCGGAGGGCTGCTGATTAGACCCTATGCAGTGCGGTGTAACCTGGGACAAACAGGAGGGGGACATCAGGGAAAACACACAAGGGTTTATTCGCGAGGGTTGTGCTCAGTGACAACAGGTGCTCCGGTGAAAAGGGGAAATCGAGGCATCCAGGTACAAGCGAATCCATGGGGCTAAGTCAGGGTGCAGTCCAATAATCCTAAACCGGGTGATCCATCCAACCAGACAGACACAGGGAAATCAGGAACAGTCCAAGAACATACATGGCCAGGTCCTCCAGACCCCGGCCGCAGGGGGCGTGATGCCTCTGGCAAGGCCTGTGCCCTCCGACGACTCTGCGGTCTGGTTCTAGGCGGGCCCCTGGACATCCGTGTCCTAGCTCTGAGCCCTGAGTATGGGAAGCTCTAGGCTTATATATCAACACTGATTCTTAACACCTGGAATTAATACAGCCATCAAACTAGGACTCAGGAATTTGGAGCGCCCCCTAGGGGAAAGGATGCTAAACAATGACAGTACACTGATAAAATTAACCTTTTAGTTTCTTTTTTGTCTCCTTATTTAAACATACCGTACTTAGCCCTTTTCTTTCATTTTATATATTACTTCGCTTCCCACTGTCTTTCTGCTACCTTGTCTCTTCTTCCTCTGTCATTCATCATCTCTCTCTCCCTCAGTAATGGGCAGTCCCTGGGCGCAGCCTTCAGTAACATCAAGATGGGCCCAGGCATGGCCTACTTCCCAGCAATCAGCCTGTCCTTCAAAGAATCAGTGGCGTTCAACTTTGGCAGCCGCCCTCTCCGATATCCTTTCACTAACAGATAGTCTGGAGCTTGGCAATAGAGTTAGGATTTTTTTGTAAGGTATATCACAGTAGGTAGAATTTCCTAAATATTTTTCCTCAGCCACAGAAGTTTTGACTACAACAAGGAGTAAACTATTGAAATGTATGTCAAACAACCAGTTGAAATCCATAGTAAGGAGAACCTTCATTAAGATTGTAAGGCTGTGCTGAAAACTGTTAACATTCGTACTGTAAAGCATTGAGAAATGAGCACATCTACATTGGGCCTTTGGGCTTATAGAATGAATAAATGCAGACTACTGAATTAAATAGTTTTAAGTCCTGGTCTAACTAGACATTTTCAAGATTTGTTATGTATTGGTCCAAACTATAAGATTTACAGGAGTGGTTCCCAAGGTGAAGTTTCTTTTATCCCTCCAGAGGGAAATAAAAAACAAAACAAAAAACTAAATTTAGTTTTTATCAGCATTCTCCAGCATCATTATGTTTGGACAAACAGGACTCCAATAAGAAAATGGAAGTGGCTGTCTGAAAAGTTAATAATTAATATCTATGCTGATGGTATTCTTGCTGTTAAACAAAACTCAATAAAAAAAGCTTCATTTTAATTTTGGTTTTGGGGATGCATTAAAATTAAAATTATTTGTAGTAATGTTGATCTAAGTAAGGGTATAATGACCACCATGCATATTTTGAGCAGTGAATTATTTTTAGTCTGGCTCCTTTTAATCATTTACAGTTTTGCTGAGCACAAAATGTTACAGTGCTCTAATAAAAGTTGATGAATTTGTAAGCAACAAATTGACAGTTATCACTTTTTACATAGAACTAGACCATTTCTAGTCAGACGGAGAAAACCATTGGTGTCAAATTTGTTTTAAGTAAGTTGATTTACAAGGTGAATGTTTTGTTAAGTTTTTTGTGTACTTTGTCAAAAAGAGGAAAGCTTAGTTATTTTTAATACTTTTCTTATTTTCACAAACCATGTTAAGTCATATTTGTATAATAATTTGACAAAGTTAGGACAAAACACACAATGAGGGAAGTTATTTTTATGATTGAGTGCTCTGGGATGTGACACGAAAGGTGCTGTGTAAATAAAATGTCCAATTTCTACTACTGTATTCTGAATTTGGGAAATTATCCTTTCACAAACTTGTCATCCTGACCCTTGAATTCATGGTGATCATTTGAAGTAGCCACTTCAAAACTGAGAAATTGGTGACCACTGGTTTGGCATATTTTATTTAAATGTAGCAGTCCTCTGTTGGGGTTAGATTGCACTTCCATTTGATAGCTCAAGAACCTAAGGACCAAACAAAGTCTATTCTTTGTGATTCCCAACACCTCCAACTTTTTGTCTAAATACTGTAAATGTCTATGCTTTCTGTGTGTACGCCCTGTGGGTTTACCCTCTGTGCAGAATCCAAAAAGGCTTTTTGAAGACTCAGAGAAGTCTATTATTTTGTTGCCAACTGCGGAGATTAATTTCTGTCCATCTGCCCTTTGTATGCCTTAATTGTCTGTTATAGTATCATCCTAGGGCCTTTATATGAACACGTCTTTGTGTAATTCCTTAGCCCCCTGTGTACATATCCTGTAGAGGGGTACATGCCCTTGCAGAACCCACCCACCGCTGACCTCCTCAAAGCACAAAAGCTTCTGGGATACATCAAGAATGTGCTGTCCACCAGAATAGACGTGCAGGTATGCTCTCCCTGAATGAAGACGGGACGGTCTGTTGCCATATCCTCATCGTCACAGCCTTCATGTCCTGCCCTGTCTTCAGCCTTGTTAATGTGTTTGGCAGGAGGGGAAGCTGGTGGAGAAGGATAGCTCAGCCTGGCAGCTGCAGGGGGAGCCCACAGTGTTGGTGACACTGGCACATGTCTTCAACTACTTCGCCCCTCTCATGGTCAGTATAGCTGCTCAGTTCCCTAGATAAACACGTTTGTTCCGAAGCATGTTTTACTGATGTACAGTCCACTCAATCTGGATCTTCGAAGACTTACACTCATCTCCTTGTCTGCTGTTGCCACTGGATTTATGTTCCGTCTGGGGGCAGAATACTGTTAGAATTATCATGTTACCCCTTGGTAACTGGTTGTACCTTTGGTAACACCCAGCCATTAAAGTTAATTACATTAACAGCTGCATTAGTTAAGAACCAATCCCTGACATCCAGTTTTCTTATGCATGTATTACAGATACACGAGAGCCCAAAAAAAAAGACTTGGAATGAAATACACTGCAATTACAGAGATCTTGAAGTGCAGATACTGTATATGTTGTTTTTCTTCATTAAAAAAAATATATTTTTTGCCACGATGAGTCACATTACATTGGAATATTATTTGGTATAACATATATATCTTGTCTGTCAAAATATCCTATGTATAAAATATGAAAGGTTTAACATTTTTTCATTCTGTTGATTTTATACCACACAATGTCATTAACACAATCTCATAACTCATAATTGCTTACTTACATAATTAAAATTCAGTATTACTGGCTAAAGGTTTGTCACAGTTGATAATAACAATCTTAAATGAGAGTCCTTGTCTAGACCATGCTAATAATATGTTCTGTGGCTGTGGGGCAACTTGGTACTCAGTGTCATGGTGTCTCTGTGTGTCCACAGTGTAAGGTCTACATAGTGGAAGATGTCCTTATGAATTTTCTGCTGAGTATTTTAGAGGGGGGTGGCTCAGTGGATGAACACCCCCTCATTCAGCAGCTCCTGGATCTCTTTTGGCTGCTGATGGAAGTAAGTGTTGTAGAAATGAATCTTTTTTCTTTTGCTGTCAGCTCATGACTCACAGTTCACTTAATAAGGCTTGGAGCCTGTCTTTGCATATTAGAGTTATTTCTCATTACTCATCTTCTCTTAAGCTTAATGGGGATTCTTAATTAAACTGAAGAACAAGTCATGAACTGCTGGGTAGCTTCTTGTAGCTCATATGACCAAATCATCGACTTTCCTTTGCTGAGGAGAGCTCATAAAGGTCTTGTTAACATGTATTCTTTTCATTCCTTTGTAGTTCTAAAACCGATATTTCATTTTAACTTTATTCTTATTTTATGGTTCAGTGCCAAACAGTTACTCATTTCGTCAACTTTACCCCTTTTTATTTATTTTTTTATAACGAGAGCCGTGTCTAGAAAGTACTCTTCATTATTTTATGTTCACACCTCTATTTTTGCTTTCTTTGTGTTGAATTATATGTAGAATTTCTCCCTTTGCACTAGGGTTGATCAGAATCACTGTGCTGAGCACTGGAGTGGGCTGAGTGCGCCTCTTGTTTTGCTTTCCAGGATTATGAGGTGAACGAATGCCTGAAGCAGCTGATGATGTCCCTCCTCAGGGCCTACAGATTCTCTCCCATCATCCCTGACTTGGGCTTCCAGGTAGTCTGGACTGTCAGTCCTTATCTCAATGCTGCACCAAAAGACTGAGATCTGAGAAACCTCATGATGTACAGGAATCTAAGCAATCGCTTTTTACTGCTCTGCCAAGACAGCCTGGTTCCCATAGTGTACCGCAGAGCGAAGTGCAATGGCCCATTCTCAGTAATTGCTCTCTGTGTGGGACATAGAACGGATTCAGTAATTGTGTTTTGTAAAGGCTGCTGTCTTTATTTTATCAAAGTGCTCTGTGGAACCTGGATGAATATAAGGCAGGGCTGAGTGACAAAGTCTTCGGTGTCTTAAGTGTTCTCTCTGACATGACTACAGAAGCGAAATGACCTTGTACTAAACTCTCCGGAAGCAGAGTGAGATTCGTAATCAACCTTAAAAAAGTATGTCTTTTTATGGGGTTAGAAAATCATAGGTAAAGTGTGATCAATTTTTTTGAGCCTTTAAAATGGGGGGCATCCCACAATGAGACTCTGTTAAGGGAAAATTAGATAATGGAAAAAATTGATTACTTATCATTTAAATGCAGGTATTGTGAAATACAGCTTTTAAAAATTTAAGCTCAACTTAAGCACATTAGATCACTCTGGATCTTGGGCTTTGACAGTAAGTGAAACAGTGTTATCAGATAGTAGCTGAACAACTTACTCCTACCTGGACGTCCTTGTAAAATCAAACGTTTTGTGTCTTTCAGATCCATTATCTGCGCCTAACGACTGCTATCCTTCGACATGAGAAATCTAGGAAGTACCTTCTAAGCAATGTGTTATATCCTTTCACCTCCAAAACAGGAAGAAAGCTTCTCATTATTAAACCCCTAAACAGCAAACGCACACCTCTGTTCTATGCTGCTGAGTGAAAATCTTTATTATGATTTATTAGCTCTTAAAGTTAATGTATTGTGCAGTGTATTACTTAAAGTTATTTGGATTGAACTGATAGGAATGGTGTTATCTGTCACTATAATTAGGCTTTAATGTAGTGAGTCCCTCTACAAGGATATCTTCAGCTTATTTCTGCATGTGCGTGTGTTAGGATTAATGGGACATACAGTATGTTGTAATCAACATGGAGTTAAACCTTTGGGGGAAGGCTTGCGTGGCTGGTGAAAGTATTAAAGCGTTTGTACCCTTGACAGAGCCACGTTCGACGTTCTGCGCTCTGTGGTATTCTTCTTCATCAAGACCCCCTTGCGGGTCAAGGAGGCCGGCCTGGAGGAGCTCATTCCTACCACCTGGTGGCCAAGTCGCTTTGACAAGGAGGTGAGGGTTCTGTTTAACAGGGCTCGTGCGCTGAACCAGTTACTGAAGTGATGTCTCCCCCCTCGGAAAATCTAGACCGTGGTAGAAGATCTGTCCATGTGGCGGTGGCACTGACAACTAGGGAGTGGTGCTGTGCAAGTTCAAAGCCCACGACCACCCAGGATCATATCCCAGCCACAGGCAGTTAGAGCTGCACTTATCACACCTGGTTTAGTCTGAACCTTTCGCCTACCACAAAGACCTCCTGGCTTTGTAAGGACTTTATGAGGACGTTTCTGTCCAAATCACTTATGAATGAGAACGAACCAAAAGCCAAGTCACTCTCCTTTCTGAGAACTAAAATATGGTGTGAATTATCCTTAAAACCTCAAAATGCTTAGTATTTTTTTCCATTTTTCTTTTTTGATCTTTTGCAAATGGGGTTTGCCTTAGTAGTTCTGTGCATTTCTTTTAAGAAGAAGTGTGCATCGATTGTGAAGTGTCCCATAATTATCGTTAGAGGTTTACCTTTGAGACATTAGAATGTAAACAATTATTACAAATGAGCAGAGGCCTCAACAACATAGCTACAGTAGGTAGATTGTCCCATATTCCTAAAGAAGTTACTTCTAATCTCATTTTTAAATTCTCTTTAATCAAGTTTCCATTTGTGTCCTCTGTTCCACTTTTATTTTTTACTCTGAAGACGCCCACAGGGTTGACTTAGTCAAAGACCTTGAGGGTTTTTAGCAATGGTAGTCAGCCTGTCAAAATTCTTTAAGAATCAAGCAAGTTTTTATTTATAGTGTCTTAAAGGAGTGAGCCTGTACTGGGCTGTATAACAATACATATAGATGCTTCAGAGTTGTAGATAGTTATGTGTGTTTATGCTTCCTACTGGTCTGAGCTGTGTGGGTCTGCCATTGTTGATTCACGCACAGCTTTAGTGGGCAGTGGGTTAAGTATTGCTGTTGTGTTTCAAGGGGAAGGATGAGAGGGAGTCAAGAGAAGAGAGTGCTGAGGAAAGACTGAGGCGCAGGGCCTATGAGAGGGGCTGCCAGCGCCTGAGGAAGAGGATTGAAGGTGAGGACAGTTTTAAGTTCAAGTTCAAGTTCAAGTTCAAGTTTCAAGTTTATTGTCATTACCCTCATATACATGGTATATGGTATAACGAAATGCTATTTAGCTAGCTCTCGGACATAAGTAGTACAAAGAGAAAAAAAACAACAACAACAACAACAACAACAACAATACAATTGTGTAGCAAAAGAAAGACAGAGACAACAGGCAGTGTGCAAAAAACAATAACAGACGATGTGCAAAAAAAAACAACAGGCAATGTGCAAAAAACAACAACAGGCAATGTGCAAAACAACAAAAAGGTAACAGGTTATGTGCAAAAATATGCATCAACAGAATAAAATAAAGGGATAGAAAGTATGGGGAGTGAGCTTTTGCCATGTATGGTAGAGGTAGATTTTCAATGTGTGTTTGGGTTTTTGGTAAGAAAGAAAGGAAGAAGGCACTGTGAGGTTCTTTTACTGAGTTGGTTGGCTACACTGAGGCACTGTTAAGCTCACTGGCAAAGTTTCGCAAGTACAAGATGCTAAACATTCCTTAAATTATCTTAATTCGCAGTACTAAAATATAGCGACACTGTTATTTAATTTAAAAGAGAATACTTTAACCCTCAACCCTAGCTCCACCCTCACACATGCACTAGGTGAAAAACAATGTTAAACCCAAACTTCATTAAAATCCAAAACCGACCTCTGCGACTCATTTTTAAGTATTGCAGTCACAATTTAAACTGTAAATTAAAAAGTGTAGGCCACTTGCAACAATTGTTTCAATTGAATTGAAGGCTTTTCTGTTTTGGAGCTGGCTGACGGAGCTCAGATGTGGGATTAAGACTAACTGAAAGAAAAACAAAAGTTCTCAAATAGAGGGATGCACAGCTGGAGCAAAAGACAGTGATTATGATTCCAAAACCCATTTACAGTTGTGCCTCAAGAGAAGAGATGGCACGGGTCGTCCTGTTGCTAGAAACTTTACCTTTAAAAAAGTATAGACTTTTTCAAATGTCTTCGCCTCAGTGAGAGTTTTACAGGCTGGGACACTGTAGTTAATATGAATAGTGATACTGAATTTTGTTTTCCAGTGGTGGAGGAGCTGCAAGTGAAGATTCTCCAGCTAATGCTGAATAACAAGGACAAAGGGACGGTATGTTTTTCCGTGCTGAGCCATACGCGTCACACCATATTCGCATTTCTGTGCTGTGTTATCATCGGTGTCCTCTGTAACGTTAATACTTGAGGTTTTTGGATGGTCCTTTCGGTTCCAGGCAGGAGAAATCAATGTTAATACAAATTTATCAAGTAGGTATTTTTTCAGATGCATTAATGTATCATACAAGGTTTGTTTGAAAAGCTTGCAATTGGAATTATCGCAATCATCTTTTATGAAAATGTTTTTACAGATACTTAACTGGTGGATTTGATTTTGCAGTAAGAAAAATATGTACCTTAGCAGAGCAAAACCAGCAAAATAGGTTGGAGGGGTAAGGAGGCAGCAGGTTTTTTTGTATTATTCACTTTTGCCTCATATTTTTGGATTATTGTTCTTAAAAGACTGCAATTCCAATGCTAACACACAGCATGGATTTTCAAAATGTGTGTTTTGCTTAATTGCAGAATTCACAAAATGCCCAGGTTAAACTTTTCTGTGACAGTGGTCACAGCCATGATATAACCTCAAGCTATAAGTCTTATAAGTATGTTTTAATGCACTGAGTATCAAAACAATATGAAAGCAGGTGGTAGACACTAATATATGTTCATTTTCTGTGGAGTATTCTTTAAAAGTCCATGTCATGATGTATATCAGTTAGTTTAGGAGCAGAAAAAAGTATGGCTCACAAAATCCATACTAATTAACATTTGAATTATAAAATACATTTATGATTTATTGGAGTATCTGTTTATAAAGAGCAGAAGCGTGAATGTTGATCAATAGTTATTGTATATTCTAATCTCAAGGATTTGATTTTTATATAATTTGCCCCTTTTAGGGTGAAGCCTCCCGGTATATCTTCCTTAATAAATTCCGCAAGTTCTTACAAGAGAACGCCAGCAACAGAGGGGTAAGACAAGCCAGCAGAATAGGAAAAGACACGTTTTTTCATATACGTTATTTTTTTAACACATTTATTGCAAAGTAAGATGTGCTCAAAAGCATAATGGTTGGAAATTAATATGTACTTTTTTTGTCAGGTATCATGCCAGATTGAAGGGAAATGGGAAAACCACTATTTTGATAAAGCATTGGACTATTTTGAAAAATAATTTCTTAAAACTGAATGGGGCTATAGATGTAACCTGATCTTGTGTGTAGCCTTTAAAGACATGAAGCACAGGATGACTGATGTCTATTTAGGCTGATTGATCGTCAAGCACTAATGAATGAGTGAGTGAGAAAGGGAGAGTGACCCCTTTATAAAAAGGGATCAGGAAATACTGGGCATTGTTTCAGGGCTTTAGGATGTTGGTTTTGAAGAAATCAAAAATATATTTAAAGTGTAGTGAACAAAACATAAGGACATTACTGCATACCTCTTAAAAGACAGTTTTGCTCTATTAAAAATATTTTTACACTGAGAGCTTTTAAGGTCATGCAACGACTTACAGGATGATCCTGTAAACCTTCGCTAATGGTTTGAATGGGCTGTTACAAACCTTCCTCGTGTTTTTCTGAGCATTTCAGAGGAAAGATCCAGCTGCGGTTTTGCGAAAGTGCTCTGCCTTCACACATTTAAACTGTGACTTGTATTACCCTGCCATAACTCCTCATTGTCCTTCCAGAATCCTACAGTGCTGTGCCCTCCTGAGTACATGGTGTGTTTCTTGCACCGCCTCATTACTGCTGTCAGGAGCCTCTGGGATGAGGGCAAAAGGAAGATCCCAGGGTGTGTGAGCAGCGAAGGTACAGTACCTTCTGGGCAGGTCTTAGGTCTTAGGTCACCTTATGGGCTGGAGGTCTCCTCGGAAAAGCTCTCATGCAGCTCAGATAAATCACTGGGGTTTGACCTCGGTCTTTGGTATACAGCTTGTTTGATAGAGGGTGTAAAGAGATGTCACACAAAAAGTAGCCCTCCTATGTTCATAGGAGTGTACACCCACGAGAGTTTTCTTTCCGTAAAATGGGTGTTCTTAACTTCTATCCAGACTGAAACCTGCATATCCACCTTCCTTACTGAATCTATTTGGAGGTATTTTAATTTTATGTGTAACACACCACTATAGCACACAGGTACTGTAGTTAGAGACCAGGAGTACAATCTGTGAAGCCTTTTAATTTTGGTGGTCTTGTCACTTGCCCTGAGGCTCACATCCTGAGTACCCTTACACTGAACTGAGAACCTCTCTACACTATGATCCTATCATCAGTCTTCATAATAAATTTATTAGGTGCACTGACAGAGTTTTTTATCACTGATTCTTCACTGTACTTTAGGCTTTCAATTCTAATAATTAATCTGGCATAATGATGTTCTTAATAGATTTGTTAGATTATACTCAGGATGGAAGAAAGCATTGCACCAGACTACATAATCATTGTGTGTGATGTGGATGTGTGTCTTTAGATTAGTTCCTGTCATACAGTTTAGAGAAACCTTTTTTTAGATTTTTGAATTAAATCTTTTACAGTGATTTTTCTGTCTGATTTGAATCATTATTCAGAGCATGTATATTAGGACACCCAATCATCAGAAAAGAAATTGCTTTTTGACTGAGATGTTGTAAAATTCTGCATTGAAGTTACTGTTCCTTTCTTTCTGAAAACTGGGGGGGCACTCTGTCTCCTGTCTAGATGTACAGTATGTAGATGCAGCGTTTTTTTTTTTTGCTTGGTATGCATCACCGCTGCAGAGCACAGAACAGATGTGTCATATGTCAAGGGGTGTTAGGGACTTGCAACTGTGATGACAGTTTCAGAATAGATCTAATATTCCTGCCCTGTGTTATTCTTTCTCTCCTCTCTCTGTCATTCTCAGAGGCCTACGTTCCTCCTCAGCTGTTTTACAATGGCAAGGTGGATTACTATGACCTGCAGAGATTGGGCGGCCTTCTCTCCCACCTTAAGAAAACCCTCAAAGGTCTGTGTTTTTTTGTGTGTAGAAATGCAGAGCCTGCTCTGGTAGAATCTTGTAGAACCCAAACTGAATCCCAAGCCATGTACTGTAACTCAAAAGGGCTTTTCTACACTGTTTCTGAACTGAATATAGACATCTCTATAGAGGTGTCTCCTCTATTTCTTCTGTTGCCCCAAAACAGAAAGTTTGAATTTCAGTTTGTTGATGTCTGCATTTTGAACATCATGACCTGTTGTTGCCTTTTTGCTCTTCTCTGTTATTCACTTTAATAGCTCGATTTTCATTATTACAGTTAAAAAAATGAATTTGGATTCATAAATAGGGGGCAAATTAAAATAAAAAAAGCTTTATCCTTTATTTAAAAATAAAGCTTTATCCTCATAAACAGGAATATAGGATTATAGTAAGATTAAAAAGGAAACGTGAGTCCACAGTCCAATTCTGTAAACTCCAGAGGAGGGCGCTGTTGCCCTGGTTTTCACTCTGTTAATGTCACTGATCAAAAAGGATACCGGGGTAGGGCTTTGTCAACACTGAGAAGCTTAAACAATCGATAATTTGTATCTATAGTATTTATTAAATTAGTTTTATGTATTGGTCATGTGCCCGGTCTTATTTTTTAGCTATTTTCCTGGTGGCAGCATGAAGATTGTGGGTGTAGCCTTTGAAGGCTGCGTTTTATGTTATGAACCTCCAGTCTAATTCACATTGTCTCCTCTTAAAATCCTACCTGTTATAGGAATCATAGTCTTTTAAAATTATTGGCAGGTCTGTTTGTGAAGTTTGTATATCTATACTGATTAGATTTGTCATGACACTTTAAGATTAACGAAGATGTAGTCGGTCTAAATTATTTTTTGTTCAAATGATAAATGCAGAAAATATAGATTATATTTTTAATTTATGAAATTCATTACATATCATAGTCCACTGATACAGTTATCGTAGCTCTTTCTTGAAGCTGTTGGGTAGAATTTAAGATTGTTGCTAGATTGTCATGTTTTTTACATGACAGTAGTTTTAGCCTATTATTATCTTATCAGTTCTGTAAAATAATAAGCATTGGTAAAGGGTTTTTCTATGTTTCGGTTTCTACGACTGTTATCCGGCAAGATCTTAAATCTGAAAAAACGATTACGGTGTGTGATGTTCCTTGTGCTCGCATGGACACTCCAGAAATGTAGACAGTGGTTACTGGCTGGTGGAAACTATGGCTACAAAAAATAAATGTCAGATTTATAGCAGGTGGATGGAACCCTAATAATGGTTATTCATTCAGTCATATTTGTATTTTTATTTTCAGGATCTATGCCAGGGATCTGCCTGGCCCAAGATTCTGGGGTTCAAACCGCATGATTAAAGTGAAGGGAGCTTTCATCTTTGCATGTTTACACTGTGGCTGTTTATACAAGGCCGTAACTCAGTCCATGTCACCAGCTTTATGTGAAAAGCAGCTCCTTGCCATTTACCACTGGCTGCTTAATTAGACACAGTTCCTCTAGGATCTCATTAGCATTTTACATACCACACTGCAGACCTCGTTATTCATTTCTAGAGTGGTATAACAAGAAATAAATCTTCCGGGCATTTTAAAAAAAAACATTTTCACTTTAATTATTATTGATTTTAGGGGGAGTTGTTTGTTGGTTTTCACACTAATTCAGTTACAAAAGTTACATAGTTTGTGATTTTTTTCAGAAACGCTTAAAAGGCATCTTGAATTTATTTTCACAAGTTTCAGTGCCCCATAAACCCAGTTCAACACCAAAGCAATTTTCGTCAGCCTTTTGCACAACATATTGTAAACTAGCAGAAGTAGTACAGCACAGTTCATTCACACTGCTAGATTCTTTCACTGAAGAATGAACTATATTCATTTTAAAATATTCTGCATTTTATACCATAATATATTGCATGCTGATGTTAAATAACTTAGTAGAGGTGGAATGTTCGTTCTTCATCAAGACTCTATACCAGATCTGATTGCATGACAAAGCCAGCATCCAGTCAGTTCTACAACCATTGGATTGGACCATCAGTGTTGTTGTTCTGATAAGTTCTCAGCAAGTTACAAAAAGTGTGAAAATAGTACTTAGGAAATCAATAAAGATACAGAGACAAAATATGACCTTTGCTAAGATACTGAATGATTTGAATATTTTATTTCCTTCACAATAAGAATTGTCCTTATAGAAAACACACTCTTAACACACAGTAGAATTGTCTGGTTTTCTTGCAGCACTTCTGTGCCTGTGTCGTAAATTGCCACCCTCTGCACTTGGGCTGAAACGATTATTCAGTGTCGACAATGAAAATTTGTCGACAAATATTTCTGTTGTCGATTTTTCGTTTTCGTTTTCAAACGGGCCTCCAACCTACAGCGCGTTAATGAATTAACCTGAAGAGCAATGCTGCCATAGCGTCGGAACTATAAAACAGGTTGAACAAGAATAATGGCGGAAAGTTCAGAAAGAAGCAACGTGTGGGAACATTTTCTTAAAACAAAAGAACAAACCATAACGTGCAGAATATGCAGGGTTGATTTAGCATTCCATGGCAGTACAACGTGCATGCTGGAGCAAATGCATGACGTTCGGTGGCGTGGGCGGCGTTCTGACAAATGGAGCTACCCGTAGTTCGAACGGTCAGAGTAGTTTGTCAGAATGAGCTACCCGTACCAAAATCACTGAAGCTCACCATATCCTATCCAATTATACAAGTCATTAGAATAGGTTTCGGAATAATTAGAAGTATTTAGCAATTGCGAAATACCACAAGCTCCCACTCATTTGTCTATTAGCCTAAAGTCAGGAGAGTTAAAGATGTTATTGCAGCATATTTTCGGTTGATTAACCCTCAGAAGAACTGTACGAGAAAACAGATAAAGCTTGTCATCCTATCAGAAAGAAACATGGGCTAGGTCAAAAAAATGTTTATTTAAAAATGTATTTAAAAATCAGCAGCTCACCCAGTCATAGCGTTACATAGATTGGGTTACGTAAAATTGTTTAACCTAAAAACAAATAGCTCGTCCTGTGAACTACCATCATTTATACAACATGAAATAAAAATACGATCACAATAGACTACAGTGCTAACCCGGTTAAATGATACTGCAGCCGATAGAGATAAAATCTACGTTTATTATTTATCAGTGTTCATCACCGCAGCTCATATTAGCAAATCCTACAGTCAATCGTAACATTTGCCTGCTGATGTTCTGAGTTCACAGTTGGATTTCAAGTGACTTAGTTGTTTATTTTAAAGTTTATTTTGAACTTTGAACTTATTTCAATCCTGTTTTATTCATTTTACTTTTTGTATTTAACTCTGTATGTTATTTGGAATTTTATGTTTGTACAAAAGAAGAAAAGTTTTTTTCCCCGGAAATTTAAGATTGAAAGACAAAGCTGTCTTATTCTTACTGGTACTTACTGGTAAGAAGTAAGAAGATGTCAATGAAGTTAGGTTGAAAGTTTTGTGTTTCTCATTGTTTTGTTGAATAAAGGTACTGTGTATGGCTACCAAACAATGCCAAACATTAGTCACAGCCTTCTCATTTAGAAGCCATGATTTTCAGCTAAGCCAATTGATTCATTGTTGTCATATTTCCCTGAATAATCGATTATCAAAATATTCGTTTGTTGCAACCCTGCTCTGCTCATGCATTTTTGTCAGGCTCTGCATGATGCAAAGCCCTGCCACAGGCTGTTGTATTTTGTCTTTACTCCATATTGTGCTTGGTGCAGTGTCCTACACTTATTATAACCATGTCACGCTTACTTATTTCAGTAGGATCAGACTCTGTTGATTACCAGAAATCAGAACAGAATCAATCTCCTCCAGACCACAAATGAAAGATGATTTAGTGCAATAAACAATGTGATAAATGGACTATTGGATCCTGATGTACTGTACTTAAAATCTGCTGGGCACCAAACTGATTGTGTTATATACTGGTGCCTCATTACATAAATGGTACAGGATGTTCTGTCTCATACAGATATACTGTTTGCTGCTTTGCACTTTCAGCTGTTAAGTACTAAATCAAGGCTCCGGGGAAATCTAAACATATATTGAATATATATGAATATGCTTTTTTGTTTTACTGACTTTCCAATCACTTTCCTTCTATCTTTGGTGTATTTCTTACCATGTTTCAGTTTCCTTTTCGTTCCTTTTAATTGTTTACATTCTTGCTTTCATTCTGCCTTGTATTAATGGGTGATCCTAACTCAAAGCCTGCCAAATGTTCAGTCAGTCAGTAATCTGTAAAATAAACCTCCAACAGAGTTTGAATTGTATAGAGTCAAATACTTCCACATCTTGAAAGCAAGTGCCTCCAGTAGAGCCCGTTGATAAGTGTTGTACAAAATCAATATGTAGTTTTTAAAAAACCTTAAACTTAACCTGTAATTTCTTTTTCATTTTTGAAAAGTCTGCTGTTGATGTCAATGAGGATACATGTTAGGAAGGGAATGCCATTTGTGACCCTTCAAGTTCATTAGTAAAAAATAGACAATTTGCCAATGTTGCCAGTTCTCTAGGATTTTTTGTCACGGCAGCTTGGTTTCATTTCCATTTCAACATTTCAGAACTACTGAAGTAATGAGGTGCTACTGTAGACGCAGGCTCTGAAAGTGTCCACTAATGAGAAGAAATCAAAAGCTTTCTCCAGTTGTGAGTGCGTTTATAAGCAGCAGTTTGTGAATGACAAGCACCCCTTTTTTCTTTAGTGGCTTAAACATTGCAAGTGTTAAGTTTTTGCAGATTTATGTATTGGACCTTTGATGTTTCTAGAGTTGGGGGATTTATGGCCATGGGGATCCCTTGAGTAAACACAATTTATAGCCACTTAGAGGTCACTTCTGCAGGTGTAATGAAGCCTCTATATCACCAGGCATCAAAATAATGAAACAATATTTCTCTGTCTGATTTTTCAATGGGATTTCCAAACCCTGGTTAGGCTTTATTCTCCCCTGAGCTGAACACAGGCCTCCAGCTTATACCCACGTCAATCAAAACTGAAACCTTTCCATGAGGATCAGCTTATTTTCCAATCTGCTATTTTAAGAAAGAAATGAATCAGAATGAATTAATTTTGCCACCGATATCCCCTATTATGTCCAGAATATGCAATCCACTCTCCTCTAGTCGCTTCAATTCCACGAAAACGTATGAAAATACTTAGTCAATAATGTTTTGGCATTTCACATTTTAAAGTGTGACACAAAGTTATGACATGACATTCCCTCTTCTAGTAAATCATCTCGGTTGGGGGTGGAAACTCGTACGGTATGTAAGTTCTTAAAGCATTTGAAAATGCTTTGAGAAGCAAATAAAAATATGTTAGTCATAAATGATTGAAAAATGTTTGCTGCTATTGACTGGATTTGCCTAAAGAACATTAGCCTGATAGCCAGTGGTTTAATGAATATTGCATGCGAGGGAAGTTAGTGCTCTTACATTGTTTCAGTTTAAGGTTTTTTTTTTAAGATACATATTGATTTTGTGCCATTTGACAGTATTGTGAATTTTTTAGTTTTAAAAGAGTTTTCCTATCAGATGAGACTGTTTGGCCCCGTGCTTCTCAGTTGTTAGTGTGATGTTTGCCATGACTGATGGCAAAATCTCATGAAGACATTTTGTGCAAGATGTTATTGAATTGGTTGTCTCTGATTAGCTGGGTAATTACAGCGCCTCGCTCATCATCATCGTTATAAATTCCTTTGCCTTTCTGTTCATGCTGCAAATTGAGCTGGTATTATGGTTGAGTGAATGTAAAATGCTAAGCCTTGCAATTTCTCACAACGTGCCTGATACTTTCAGATGACCTGGCCACCAAAGCCAATATCATAATTGACCCATCGGAGATCCAATCCACGTCAATGGATGACCTGGATGAGGATGAAGACAGTGGTGCAGCACAGGTAACTCAGACTGGCACAGAAAGCCCTACTTTCACCAACAACAGGGCCATACCATGCCCATTTACCACCTGTCTTCTGAGCTTCTTGATCTGTTTAAATAACATTTAAAGGGGACGTGTTTCCCCTTTCATTTTATTTGTTAAACGTATGCTTTTCTTTTGTTTCTTAATTCTTATACCTAATCATTTTGTTGTCATATTCCAGTTTGACACCAACTGGAACATACGTTGTTGTCATTTTCCAGAAAAGTAGCTTTTAAAACCTTAAAAAATTAAGTAGTGGAGATACATTAGTCTTTCCTAACATTTAGCAAGTTCAGTGAACTTGAAGCTTGATTTTCAGTTTTGACCACTAAGGTAATTTATTGAGAGCCTCCAAAAGTTTCTGCAATTTTATTCCTATTGAGCTTACACATTACTAAAGGTATTGTGGGAACGTCTATCAAGTATTGATGTCCTTTGCTGGCAGTGCACTGTATTTCTGGGATATTGTAATATCAATAAAAGATTATAGCTCAGGGCTGCAAGTATGAGCAGATTTTGTTTGTAGTTCATACTACTTTATCTTAGACCCTGGGCTATATAAATATGGAAAACATCAAGACAGAAAACCACAGTGCACTCTGCTTTAAGTCAATGTTAGAAAAGTTTTAAATCATTATTTATAAAAAAAAGTGATGTAATGTCTGAGTTAACGATTCTGTCACCTTTTTCTGTGACTGAACTCTCTGTGGGTGTTGCTGACAGAGGCCATTCGGGGCAGCTGCAATGGGGGCAGCCTTGGCGCGGCCCAGCTGGCTGAGCTCCCCCACTCTGGGCAGAGCTAACCGCTTCCTCAGCACTGCTGCAGTCAGCCTCATGACCCCACGGCGACCCCTTGCCCCACCAGAGAAGGTCAAAGTGCGCACCTTGGCAGTAGAGCAGAGGACTGAGGAGGACAGTGAGTACTGTGGCCCCAGAAACATGTATCCCTGTGTCTTTGCTTCATCTGAGACCTAGAGACTGAAGTGCTGATATGAAGCAGTGCTTAAACCAACGAAAGCGACTTCTAGCTATTTTCTTTCACTTGGTACTTCCCATTATATATGACTGCCCCCAACAAGAGACCATAAAAAACACCATGTTTACAGGAATGTTTCAGTTCACAGATTGAACTATCTGATGAATGTAGTCACTAACATATGAATTCATTTTTTAAAGGGGAACTGCAGTCCCAAATTCTCAGACCGGTTATTAAATCTCAGTAATAAATTAATAAAATCTCAGTCATAACTGATATCACAAAGTTTTACAAATTTCAAATTAAATGTAAAATCGTAAACTTTGAAAGTACTGTGTATTCACGCAAATTGTGACGTGAAAGTGGCCCTTCCGGCTCATTAGTACCTGTAAGCGAAAGGGAAACGTGGTCTCCTTATATCCTGTTTTGACTTTTTGAACTTGCTTATATATTTTAAATGATGCCTCACTGTTGAGCATTTGGCTATGCAGAACATAGTTGTCACATACAAAACAGAGGATCGGATTCGCAGAAAGTCAAACTATTTCTTTTTCCGAGGCATATTCAACTACCCAAGAGATGGGTAATAAACATGGGCACTGATTTTGGTCCCATTGACAAGTTTCTCGGCAAGATTCAGCGTGATGTATGATTGAATAAGTTCAAACAGCAGACGTTCCAACCCAGAAATGGTCGAACATGATCTGCAGGCTAGTTAAAATGTAAATGGTATTTGTTGGCAAAACCGTCTTGAAGTCAATATGCTGAATTAAATTCAGTTACTCTCATTCAAATCAGCTGTTCAGGCGGTGGCACAGGTAATGGTGCAGCAAGTCCTCCAAAAGTCCTACTTGAATTTTTCTTTTAGGTGTGTTTAACCCTAAAATAACCACCAATGTAAATGATAATGTAATTTTGCAAAACTTGAAAATGAATATGAGTGTATTTTAGTTGGTTGACAGGTTGCTCTGTTTTTACAATACTTACAGTACATAAAGTATCAGAAAATGTCTCCTTGTGCATGTCGATTTCATTGAAATATTTACTATTATAGTAGCAAAATTCACTTGGTTTAAAGCATGTTTACAGCGTAATAAGTCTGCTTTCGCATTACCAGAGGTTTTGTTGCGTTGTTCTAAATTGCAGACAATGACAGAAATATGGCTCTATGCATACATTGAAATTTCACCTCTTTTGTGATGTAATTTGGAATACCGTATATACCGTATACTGTATACTTAGTAATTTCATTGTGATTCATTATAATCCCAAAATGTAAAAATAGGGTTGCAGTTCCCTTTTAAAAAACTTCCTCTTGTTGGATGTGATTTTTTTTTCATCTGTGTTGTGTTCCTGAAGCAATTTGCTTGAAGTTTGCTCAGTTTGCTTGAAGTGTAATCACAAATAGATTACTTGGTAATTTGGACAACACAATTAGAGTGCTGCTACTATTGCTATTTTTCTCTACTAATTAGCATGTGCTGTGGAAATGTTGTGGAAATGTTGTTAAGAAGAAGGACAAGCCATAGGCTGCTCTGGTAGCAAAAGGGAAACGTGGTCTCCTAATATCCTTTTTTGACTTTTTGAACTTGCTTATATATTTTAAATGGTGCCTCACTGTTGAGCAATTGGTAGAGGCCCCCATAGTTAACAATGTTAGTTAAAGGTTTTGATTTCTGTTTTTGCCTCCAGTTGAGGGCAGTCATGGTAATGATGGACTATTGCTTGGGCGACCACCAGAAGAGCCGGAGCAACCAATAGCTGAGAAGTCCCTCCTGGAGATCTTGGATGGTATCATCATGATGTACAACTTGAGTGTGCACCAACAACTGGGCAAGGTGAGAGACGGGAGTCACAGAGCAGTCTGGGGTCAAGGCAAGTCGATGGAAGAGGTTTCTCATGCGAGTTGACTCGCCTTTGAAATGACAAATGTGCATAATTAACAACAGTAACAAGATGCAGTTGTGCATGTTGGTTTTTGAGACTTGGGAGTCAGACTCTTCCTTTTGTGTCAGTGAAACTAAAAGCATGTGTTCCTTTTAAGAAACCACATTGAAGACCAACTGCTAAAGCAGGCAGGTCCATTAAATCATTGGCTTGTATCGTTTCAGTATGAGACCTGTTTAGTGTTCCTTTAGAAAATATCTTCTCTTAAGCAGGTCTAATAATGCTGCTAGGGCACTCTTTGGAAAGAATCTGCCACTGCTTTGTGTAGATAAATCAAAGTACTTGTGTAAAGTTGAAGTACTGGGGACTGGTGCTTACGAAATTAAGCCAGAGGTAAATGTAGATTGTGCAGATAACCATACATCAGGTTGAGCCTAATGGCCTGTCGCGACAAATGAATGTCGAAATGCTTCCTGAGCTTCACTTTGTTAAAGTCTTATGAGAGTTGGAGAGCGCAAGGAACGTAATCCATTGGCACATTATTCTCATACTTAATCTAAAACCAGCTACAGACTGCAAGTTTTTAAATGGGGATATTTATTTCCATTTCCTCTTCAGTTAATCTCTTTTAGCCATGGGAATTTTGTTTTAAATGTACTGTAAATGTTAGGATCAGAGCAAGGTGTTCTTTTTTATTTCCTCATTAATTTTTATTCAAAGAATGCAACATTTAGCTAGATGGCTTCTGCTGCATTGTAGACTGAACTCTTAAAGGCGACTGTATCCATTAATGAATTATGGTTCTTCTCCAGCTCTGTAGTAATGTATCTAGAGTGTATTGTATTACAACTCAATTATCAATTTTATCAATTAAAGAACTGCAGTTTGTTCTCTCTAGCCATCTTAATTCCTAATGTATATCTTTTGATGATGAAGCTGGAGATAAAATACACGCAAATAACTGGCTTCTTTATTTTCTACTGAATTGTACACATAAAACTATGTGTGATCTTTGCTCTTTCTGATACATAGCAAGTGACATCTGTCTGCTTCTGAAAAACTTACAATATGAGAGTTGCAGTGTCTCCTTTTGTACTTATATGATGTCATTGTGAGCAAATCTGTTTTATTTGACAGAGTAATCAGAGTAATATGTAAATATTAAACTCAAGGCAGCTTCTTGTTTGTCCTTATTCACTTTGAAGTATTAAAGGCTTGTTACTCACAGTTTGGCTTGATACACACAAATGGCCAATCAATCTCTTACAAGAGGTTCTCATAATACAGAGTTAAGTGTGTTGACTATAATACTTGTGTAAGAGTAGTCAACCTCATACTAATCAATCACGCAATGAACATCGACATTCATGAACACTTAGAATGCAAATAAATATTCACTTACTTTCGTGATCTGATCTGATCACGAACTTTTGATTTATCAGACATACATGCTTGGGACCAATAGGTTAATTCTTAAGTCTTAAAATGTTTTTCATGGTGGTTTTCAAAAATACACTGTATGACTTATTTGGGTCAAAGGTAGTATGATGTTTAAATGGTTTATATTTACTTCGCAATTCTCAGATGGTGGTGGTGTCAGATGATGTCCATGAATATGCGGTGGCCCTGAAGGACACTGAGGAGAAGATTGCTCGCTGCCCAAGTAGAGTAAGTGCTGTCTCGTGTGACAATGGTGGACCTGTGCAGTAAAGAAGAGATGAGAGAAAAAACTGGTTACAGCACGGTGTTTATAGGTGCTTCCCTTTCACCTGTGTTCATGTAAATATTGTGAAACTTTATATTAGACTTGAAAATTAGTTTTCTAATTAGAACTTAATGACAGTTGTTATGTACTTCTTTTGTGAGATAGTGGGGTCAATGCTGTGACAATGAATCTAAAATGTTTTCTTTAAAGTGGTTAGGAGTGTCTGACAACAAATGTGTGTACACCGTATATATATATATTTGTGTGTGGATTTTGGCAGGGATCCTGTATATATTTGTATTGCCCTGGTATTGTGCCCAGCACAGACCAACCTGCTAACCATTCCCCCTCTCTGTCTCCAGAGACATGACATTCTGGAGGAGCTTCAGAAGAGCCAGAAGGTTTTTGCTGAGAAGTTGAACCACTTGAGCCGCAGACTAGCCTGGATTAATGCTACCATTTACTCCAAAGTAATATGTGTCTCCAACCAATCTCTATACAACATGTTGTGGCTGATTACATGAAAGCCTGAACTCCAACTAAGTTCTTAATAGCTCTCAAGAAGTTAACTTGAAAGGGAGAAAATGCCAATCATGCCAACAATTGCACAAGTGTTCTGCTAATTACAAATGTACTCCCTTCAGTTTAATCCTTTCCCTTTTACAATTTCTACTTTTTGTATAAGCAGAACTATCTTCTTAATTTCTTGCAAAGAGAACTTCCTCTAATTGCACTTACCACTGCCAAATCAAAGCTCTTATTCCCTAGTCTCACATCTGATCATAGACCAGGTGGGAGAGTAATCTGTTCAATACCTAATTGGATTATACAGAGAAACAAATAATGCAGCAATGTGATCAATTTTGAGTCTGTACAAATTGAAATGACGATGGAAACAACAGATATTTCTTATAATTGTAACTTGACCCGTCTGCCTGAGGAAATTTACAAAACGTAAGGGTACAGGCTTGAACTGAACGGCTGTTGAACTGTGGAAAAATGTGCACCCTTTCGAACTAGAATGTTGCGATTGTGCTGTATATACGGTGTGTATGAGAATGAGCTCTGTGATCACACATGTGCTGTTTGTACACTGTGGTTTTGTCCAGGAGAAGATGCTGGATGTGTACTGGCTGCTCCAAGTCTGTATCCGCACCATAGAGCACGCCGACAACACCGGCTCCCTGTTTGCATTCACCCCGGAGTTCTATCTTAATGTGGCCATGAACAGCTACAGCGCACTCAAGAACTACTTCAGCCCTTCCAACAGCATGGAGGAGCTGCCAGGTAATATAACTCCACAGCCCCTCCACACCCCCACATCTAGTGAAATCGTTCGGTTTTCCTGTGTTTCAGGCCCTGTGCATTTAAATGGTTGCCGCCATTGTGTGCTTTATGTGATGTAAAAGTGGGATATCATTATTATTAATATAACTAATTCAATTCCAAGGTGATTTACAGGGTCATAACCTTTAAAAATATTGAGTAGCATTAATAATGTCACAAATGCTTTTCATTGCAATACTCATTTTATGCTTTTTTTAATCCATGATTACAATGCATATACTGTATACTGTATTAGGATACATTGTTTAGACATGTGGTTCAATATAAGCAGTAGTCCGGTTTGCATTGTACGAGTTTTAATATAACACAATAAAACCAATAGCACAAACCCAGTGCTATATTCAGAAAATATAAGAGTAATGGGGGGTGGAAGGCAGTGTTATTGTTTCTTTCTGAGTAAAAATGTTGTAAAGTGTTACCACGAAGATGCCTGCAACGATCGATGTTGAAGTTTCAGTGCACAACACTTTCCATGCGGGTTTGGCGGAGATTACTGTAGTAAGTGATGTCTGAAGTAAAAAACAAAGCATGCTCAACAAATGCATTAGGGGATTTATTGTGTTGTTTAAATTTTGCCAATAACAATGACCTAGCAAAGTTTGAAGAATTATGTATTCAGTTACAGTTTTTTTAGAAATGCATTTGGATTGTTTGCAAAGGGTATATGCAAAACATGAAAGGGTATCCTGATTTGTGATCTTTTGTCCACCTGCAGGTTATGAGGACACACTTACCCAGCTTGCTGCTATCTTAGCCAAACATTTTGCAGACCCCCGCATTGTAGGAACAGGTAAGGGAGCCGGTTACAGATCATTTGAGATACAACTGTCTATATAGGGTGTATTAATTTTTATAGTGTTTGCTACTAGTACATGTGGAGAGTGTGTGGGTTTTTAGTTTATCGTATTTTTTAAAGAAATCACTAGAAGTATTTTTGCCAGTGCCAACTCCCAGACTCACCTGCATATATTCCATGTAGACAGTAAATGGAACAGGGAAGTTGTTCGAATTTTACTTATTCATTTTAGAAGGGAGAAAATCTTTTCTGAGCTTGTATTCTTTTCGGTACGACTGCTTGCTCTCTGTGCATTGGAGCCAGATTGCTCCGAGGAGTCAGTATCTGATTCTTGATGCCTACACAGCTTGAAGAATTGAGACAGTGCTATATTAATTCTTCAAATCAAACCTGGAATTTTCCAACACCACAGAGTGTTTTTTTTTATTTATGTTATGGGAAGAAAGGGGAGAAGCCTGTTACTGAAGCTTCATGCTGCCTTTGAGGTTTTGTTTTCATTACAATCTAGTTTCTCTCATTATTACACCTGGCTTTTCATTTTTACAACTGGGTTTTTGTTGTTATATCATTTAGCAGGATTTTTTTCTTCCTTATATGCTTGACTTTTGTTTTGTCTTTCACTGCTATCGGATTTCTCCTCTGGAGACTGATTTCTCAGTTCTGTACCCTGCTGTGTTGACCATATACAGCTCCTGTATATTGCTTCCTTGTGTAGCAATTTTTCTATGTTTAGATAAAAACCTTTAGCTCACAGTGCTGTCTGTGTAGCATCTTTCACAAGCAAAAAAAAGTATGCATGACCTTGTCAGAAACACGCTTATTAAAAATGACCCCTGCACTATGTAAACTATTTTCTCCTTGCAATCACCCAGGCCTTTTACATTTCTTGAATGGCACTGCTTAATCACAAAAAAGACAGTGTATAATCTTGGGTTCCAATTTAAAAAGGTTCTTCTGGCAGCTCAAAGCCGTGTGATGTTTGTAAGGTTGCCTCCATGTGGGCTAAGTGCCATTAATTCAAACATTTCGTCAATAATTACTGCCAGTGCGGAACAGCATTAGCTTAACAGATGCTAGCTATCCTCCAGGTGTATGGGATGGCAGTTCAAAAGCTACAGGAACATCAGCCAGATCTGCAGCTATGCTGGGTTATATGTTGCATTTTTATTCTCTGACCTGAAATGCAATTGAATTGAGGGATCAAATGAAATAAAGGAAATGGTTTAGTAACTCAAGAAATCATTTTGGAATGTTTTTGGTATTATTACTCGAATTATGCAAGTTTTCTATACCTCAGAAATGTCTTCCTCCCTGTTTTTGTTTTCATGTTTGAGGTTTACAATTTATTGTTATAAACAATAATGAAGGGGCTAACTGACAAATTTAAATGTAGGTTTGGGTGGGTAGTGTAATTACATTTTTTTAATGCTTTTTGTCCCAGATATAAAGGACTCTTTGATGCAGGCACTGGCCAGCTATGTGTGCTATCCCCAGTCCCTAAAAGCAGTGGAGAGAATCTCAGAGGAACAGTGAGTACATCTAGAACTCAGATACAGTCTTTAAAAGTCCCAATTTCACAGACTTGTTATTTAATAACGGTAAGAAAATACATTTATTGAAGTCATAGAAACATTTGACAAATTTTGAATAAAGCATTAAATCGTGAACTTTGTGAAAGTACTGTAAGTTGCAAGGTTGTCACAAACCTGTGGTTTTGCCGTGGGCGAGAGCAAGAGTTTGCGCAAATTGTGACGTGAAATGTTCCTTCCTGCTCACTAGTCACTGTAATGACTACTGTAATGTGATGTATGAGCGAATAAGTACTATCTGTGCAGCAGACATTTCACCTCAAAAGGTTTCCAAAAGTTCAATTCATTGGCAAACCCATCTTGAAATCAAGACCAATATTTTTAGTAGATTAAAATCCTACTTCTTTACAATGTAATAGGACCACTTTAAGAGTGTTTTCTTCTTTACAGTTTATTTAAATATTTGCCTGTTAAGTCGTACTTTCAGGCACAGTTGAGATTTTTCAGTAAGTCTGAAGGAAAGCATTGATTACATTATTTAAGCTAACCTTGCCTGATAAGTGGCAATGTCATTCATTTTTGAAAATGCATTCAAGATTTCTTACATCTGTGCAATATGTGCAGTATGTGAGGTAGTTTAGGAGGTAGAGGGTTAAATTAATCTATGTGGTACACATTTATGATTGGGCAGAGAGAGAACTGGGGCTCTGAGACCCAAACAGATAGCAGAAAGTAGTGTTCCTTGGTGTCAAATCATTGGTCAGACAAGGTCAGAGGACAGGTCAGAGAAGCGGGAAGATCATAATATACTGTAGGTGGCTCTTCCCTTTACCCAACTTTTTAAATGCAGCTTTTAGGCATTTTAGGCATTTTTAGGCAGAGAAGAAATTTAGATAAGATGCAGAACAGCTGCAGTAAATGAAGTTTAAACATTTCTCAGTTCCCATCTCCTGAGAGTTATGTTCCCATTTACAGTGTACACCTTAAAAACAAATACTGCCAGAATGTCAGATTTGTAGTTAAAATGACAAAAAATGCTTAAAACAAACTTTCATCATTGTTCTTTTTAGTGAAACTAAAATCCTGTTAGTTTTGGGCACTGTGGTTGTTCAACTGAACAATTGAATCATATACACTTCACTTGGAAAGGCTCTTCAAATTTATCCTAATCAGTTGGCTGTGCTTTCCAGCATCTCGGCTGATGATTTTAATGGGATGCAGCAGGTTGGGCCTGTGGACGCCACGGTGTGTCATTTATAGAGTGTCTCACTCCACAGGCGAGTGGCCATGATGAAGAACCTGCTGGCCCCCTATGAACAGAGACCCTGGGCACAGACCAACTGGATCCTGGTGCGACTTTGGAGGGTCAGTAGCTTCTGAGCAACTCGCTGCTTTTCTGTATAATGCCTCACTGCTGATCCTTCGGGCTACACTTGATTGTCTCTCACTTTGTCACATTGTACATCTCCCACTGCCTGTATGTTCTAACACATTCAGCCCATCTCCCACCCTCTCCCCTGAGCCTGCCAAATCCCCTGAAGATTAAAAGTTGATGAACTCTGATTTCTCGTGCTCCCAGCATGTTTTTATAGCTCTGATAGATGACGGATTATTTCCAGGGACAGTGAAATAGTGTGAATTCATTCTGAAGGCCAGATTAAAGATTGATTGGCTGCTTCTTGTTCTCAGGGCTGTGGATTTGGCTACAGGTACACACGATTGCCTCACCTGTTGAAAACCAAACCTGAGGATGCAAACCTACCCAGCCTGCAGAGTAAGTGTCATTCTCAATCGCTCTACTTTGTTCTTCCATTAATTACTGTTGCTTTTACTTTTGAGGCTTGGAAATGCATCAATTTGCTTCTTAGTCGTAGCCTGTCAATCTGTCTCTTTCAGGCTGACAATATATCTGTCTGTCTGATAGTCTCTTCATTTGAATTTGAACGTCTCACATTGTTTCCTAAAATAAGAATCAGCTTGATAAAGTACATTCAATTATTTTTATATCAACACTTTTTAAAAATCTGTAATTTCATGATGTCAATTATTTTGAGCACTCATTATACAGCATTAGGTAAGAAGTTTTATTGTGAAAGCAAACTGTCATTTGTGTATTGCTAAAAATAAAACACAGCCACTGCTAAAGACACTTCTTGCCGTACAGCATCGTAAATGGCACTTGTGCTCAACAGTTATGAATCATTTGAGGAGTACCATCATGTTTAATAGCTTAATCACAGTTCTAAAAATAGTAGTAGCAGTAAAAAAAGTTAAATCCTGTGTGATTTTGGACAAATTACAGCGCATGGAATAAATGGGTCAGGAAGACGGAAATGATTAATTTTCATCACATTATAGTGCATAACTATACCGACAGGCAATTTTTAAAGAATCCAGTTCTTTTTTTATTCCAGGATACTCCGATGTCCTTTTGCAAAGGCTTGAAGAAAAAAGCTCTATGCAAAGGTGTTTATACAGTTGTACACTGAGATACTTTCCAGAGTCAAACAGTGGCATAGACAAGATGTCACACTGCAGCCTATATGCCGCCAGGAAGAGGCTGTTACCACTTGTGATCTTATAAGAAATAGAAATCATAACATGTTTTATTTTCTTCTACTCCACTTCTGAAACACGGCAGCAATGTGTCTCTTTTTATTTCAGTGGAGTCAAACTTACTTGTGAATGTGAAACAGTGCTTGTGTCTTCTTCTGCCTGCGTTATAATATACAGTACGTATTAATAAAATAAAATTAAAGAATGTTTAGCAGGGTGAAAGCTGAATTGTAAGTACCTGCTGTACGTCTTAAAAGCTTTTTGCCAATACGATCTGTGCACAGAAGGAGGGTGGCTACTCGCTTCCCTAAAAATGTCCATGACTCAGTGCCTCTATCACATTAATTTTACTGCCAGTTAAAATTAATTATTGCACTTTCTGATTCATGTATACTCAGCAGTTTTATGTTTCTGTTTTGCATGAGAATTCATCACATTGTCATTATTATAGATGCAAAAGAGTCTGAAATTTCTTGAAGCCATGAATCAAAACTTCTTAAAACTCTTTTGTATCCTTTATGGATATCTCAAGTTGAATTAGGGGTTTACTTGGAAAACAATGGATTAAGGAAGTCAATATAGGTGGAGTTGTGGAAAAACAAAAAATGAAAAAGAGGATCAATACAGAAAAATGGCCTTAGGTGTGTTTTTTCATTTAATTCAAGTAATAATTTACTTTGTTTGAGATTTCCATTTCTTTGAGCCATTAACGAGGCTCAAGTGTCTGTTTGTAACATTCCTTAAATAGAACTGATTGGACTTTCATGTTCCCTTTCAAACAGTAAAGATTTTTGCTGCATATAGTGTCATTACATTTTTGAGACAGCTCCTTATTAAACTGATCAAACAAAATCCAATGCTAAACAAATGAATGAAGAAATAATTAAGGAGAACTAATTGGACATTTGTGCAAAAACACCCTGTTTAGAAAGTATAATGAACCATACATAGTAATGAACGTACAGTAAGGATGTAAGAATATTCACGATTGAGAGGGGACCAGCTAATTTGTTTTTTTTTTAATAACAAATTGATATGAGTATCTGAACCACCCATTACTTGAAGGAAGCCAGGGTATCAGCATGTTGTTCCAGGATCCCAACGCTGTATAAAAAACATTTTTCTGTCCTCCTGTTTTCAATTAACTTCCCTTGTGTAGGTTTCTGCTTGTATTGTCCGTTTCTTTTTATTTTGGATTTTGAAGAAATATACTGAAATGACCCAATAACTTTGAAGACTTTGAACGTTTGAATTCGGTCCCCTTGTAGTCTAATCTGTTCAGGGTTACAGATATATTTACTTGTTTTAGTTCTTTTACTGTTACAGCTCTAGTGCATTCTGCCATTTGTGGGGGTCATTTGCCACACATAGCAAAGGCTTGTTGAAAGCTGGGAGAATACAGAATAATTTAATATTGTCTCACAGTTACTCCTTTTAAGTCCAAGATGGCTGGATTAATTAGAAAAAACAGCATAAAATGGGAAAACTCTTGAGAATCAAGGAACTTAATCTGATAAAGGAAGATATTCCATGATGTTGTTTAGAATCCCATAAACGTTACAAAAGTTATTAAGTTGTACAATCCTCTAACCTCAGTAGATCTGATGCCCTATTCATACATGTCTGAGTCTGGCATATCATGATATCAAAGGTTTCTGTCTTCCTTGGCACATGGTGTATATGTGCTACCAAAATGAGGTACTGACTTGCTACAATGTCATAGACACCTTAGTCCATCTACTGCTGTCCATTAGCTTGGTTAGCTGCCATCGTAGTGATTAAAAATGTCCCCGTCAAGATCAACAGTTAAAGATCCATCATCTTTAAGAGACATGCAGTACTTTTGATCAGTGTTAAAAGAAACTGCTGTTGGCTTACAAACACAATGATAAATCTTGTGGCATACTGTTTTGAGGTAATGTCCATTAATAAAGTGCTCCAGCGGTGACAAAGTGGAAGGAACTTAATTTGCATTATAATGCCACTGACTCTCAGTTCTTACTGGATGTATACTTTTGCGCATTGATTTAACACTTTAATCCATAATTATTTCATTCTTTAGAAATATTAGTTGTTAGTCACAGAATTTTAGGTTACAATCTCCCTTTAAAAGTACATTCTGATTTACCTTCTACTGAAAACATGAAAGTAGCATATAATATTAGTTAAATCTGTGTTTTAAATAGTGATTTTCCTTAATAAATTCCTCTGACACAAAATTAATTTTGTTATTGTTCAGTATAGTACTTTAGTTACTGAAAAAGTCTAATATTAATACATCTCAATTGAAAGGCTCATACCACACAAGGTATATCAAGTTGTTTAGTTTTATTCTTCTGTTGTAAATATATTTTAGGAATTAATGGGAATTTTGAAATACTGTATAAAACCACCTACAGCAGATGTGGAAAAGTTTGGTTATTCCCACTATTTGTGTTCTACAGATGAATGGAAGCACAAACTTTGTAAGAGATGCTCTTCTGTATCTTTGTTCACATTCTAGATTGATGAGAACACATCCTTAATAAGTAAAAAGGGACAGAAGGTTCTAAATCACAGAAAATCTCTCAGTGCTTCAAACACTTTGATACACAAACACTCCTAGATGTCTTCCTCTTGCCAAGTGACTTCTGGCATGTCTGGGCTCTCTCAGAGCCTTAAAACTGTTAAGATCTGTTTATTTCCGTGCGTCACAAGCTTTTTTCTCCCTGTTTTGTCCATCTTAACAAGATTGCTCATTCAGTAACCAACAGATGCGACTTCCAGAAATGAATCTAATCATAGAGAATGTTTTATCACCATTCCTTATTGTAATGCTTTATAAATTTACCTTGTTTACTATACTGGTCACTATAGTATCAGATAATATTTTATTTAGACAAGTGTGGCTTATGTTCTAATAAGTAAATATTTGAAAGAACTGTGTATTTGTATATGATTCGTACTGTACTAGTGCTGTACTATATATGGTGTGCTGCCACTATAATACAAACATTGTCAGAAACAGACTGGATAATTTTACTCTCGGTTGACCTTGATATCTATAGTTAAAATATATTAGAAAATAAAAAATCCTGTTTTTTTAGGATGACTGTTTTTAACATATGATATGTATCCAAAACAGGCTTTCTGAGATTACAGCTGTTATATTTATTAAACCAAAAGTCTAAAACTTAACTCCTAAAGGGCTGCTGTCTCTCCAAAATTTTCTCTACAGTTCTGCATCGGTCTAATTATTAACTGGTCATGTTTAAAATCATATCCGGGTTTTCAGAGTTTCAAGGTTTAGAGCGGTCCAGATACCTTTTATTTTTAGCTGGAATCATGTACACAAAATAAAATGCTAAATAGTGTAAATTTAGCAAATGATTAGCCCAATCTCATGACTGATTTTAAATTGTGTTGAAAACCTGAAGACCTGTGGCCTTTGATTGGTGTTTGAGGCCCCCTAGATTAAACTGAATTACGGAATATTAGTTTATTCTGACATGATTGCCAGTGCTTTTCTCTAAAGAGAAGGTGGGGTGCATTAGCACACCCCTTTTCCAGAACTGCCCAATCCTGAATCATTGGATTCCAGTTCATTCTGAGTTTTTCATTTCACATTAATTCAAGAATACTTGGTTGGATTAACTTTCAGATGGACCCTTTTTGCCGCTCTAAAATAGTTTGCAGCATAATTTACTGCTGTAAATTAGCCGCAAAAAGGCCGCAAATTAGCTGAACTAAAGGTTTAAGTAACTGACGGTGGAATAAGAACCTGGCTATGCTGGGGTCATGAAGACCAGGATTGGAAAGCCTTCTTCTGGACTGTATGAAATATACTGTAGATAGTAAGTAAGTTGCTCAGATAGGTGTCCCCGATTTCCTAATAGGCAAATACAGGGAATCCTGTTCTTGCTGTTTTCACCATGATGTTTAATGTTGTTTTTTCTTAATTTTGTGTTCCATTTTTTGGTGCATGTTTTCCAGGAGATTTGTCAATTGCTAGTTTCCAGAGTAAGTGTTTTCCTCTTTTAGTTCTCACCCTTTTCCACCCTCTGTCCCTCCTCCCATCCTACCGCTCTTGAGTGGTACTGTGGCCCCACCTTCGAAACCGTCACCTGGGATCTCTTTAATTCAGTTACTCTGGTGTCTTCCAAGTATGCGATTACAGGAGAGCAGGCGAAACGAACTTTTGTTTGTTCCTCCTTGGTTGAGAGAGAACTTTGAAATGGCCTTTTCATGTCATACTGATTTAATGACTGAGTTCGGAAGGAGGAGAAGCTCTGCAGTGCACCTCACACTTCATCAGATTCAGTTCACTGAAAGATGAGGCTCCTGGCATTTAATTCATTAGCATTTTCAGGTGAATGAAGTACTAGAAGCCTACTGGAATAAACTGATCAGCTATTCAACCATTATAGGAAAATATTCACAGTCTTACATGTAGAGCCCAAAACCTCTGCATCAGCGCTATTCCTTTCTGCTCCTTATTTTTAATCACCAGCATGCAGTTCGCATCCTCAAGCTAATTATTCAGTAGTCGTGCAGCGTGAAAATTAATGCTAACACAATCTATAATGGGACGTTTCTTTCTTCTCAAAGACCTCCACGTATTTATTCCTCCATTTTACTTACCGTGTCAGAAATTCTGAAATAGGTGCCCTGTCTTTGCATTTTTTTATGATGTTTTCTTTAATTATTTTATTGTTCTGGGTTTTACTGAAACAAACGTTTGTACAATTAGTGTTGATTTTCTATCAGTACCCTTTAGGAAACACATTGCAGGAATAAAAACAGACATTAACTGCACATGGGGTTTGACCAGGGAGGTTTCATAGGGGATGGGCACAGTGACTCTCTGAAATGACTCTCTATTCCATGGGTGTCCTTAAGAGTGAAAAGCAGCCCATTTCTCTCTGTGAGCTTCAAGAGTATCAGCTTGTACTGATAACAACAGAGCATAGCACGTTATTGACGGCCTAAGGATAATTCACCTTGTTCAATTGTGAGTGCTTAATATTGCACTGTTGAATTATTACCACTTAATTTATTTTAGATCATTTTAACATTTAATCCAGAATGTAATAATAGATTTTCCTCATGTCTTCTGAAGTAAATCATTACCTGTAGCCATTCCCTATGTTTGCACATCACCAATGCTGTACAGTGCCTTCCCCACTGTCTTATTCCTCCGCACATTTAAAGGAACTGTTTTTGCAATGAGCTCTCTTTAATTCAAATTCATGCCTTATTTCCTATCCTCCTGGATTGATCATATAATTGCCTGTTTTTGCTATTATTCAGTATTGGTCAGTAAAACAATGCGTTTGCTCCTGTAACTGTTTGTGCCTTGTTGTCCAAATGTTTAATAGTCTGTAGTTTATAATTCTAAATAGATATGACAACGAAGGTAATTATTTTATTTTAATGTATTTGCTTCTCCTTTGTTTTGTTAAATATTGTATACAGTGGGGTACAATAAGCAGTACAGCATCCATATTTTTTATTAATTCGGCAGGTACATTTATTCAAGGTGACTAACAATTTGTTTTCTTAAAAGGTCAGTTAAATGACCCTTTTGGTAAGGAAGGTGATCTAACAGTGCTGTACAGTGCTCTTGGCCCAAACCAGCAATGTCTTGTTCCCTGAAGATTGTGCAAGAATTAAATTCTGCACCTAATTTTATCCCCTTTAGCATTGCAGCTTTTTTTCCCCCCCAAGTCTTCCCTGCTTGTGAGCAATCACATAAATAAAAGCTTAGTCATGAGTTTCAAACACTAGGAACACAGAAAGTAAGCAGTCTTTTATAAACTTCTGTGACCTTTGTTAGTTTCCTGATAACCTAGTCATAAGAAATTACTCCCTCCTTATTTATAGCCTGATTGCAGTTGCCAATTTATGGTATCCCAGGAGGTGTAGCAGAGAACATCATCAGCACATAATTAAACTAAAGGTTATTCTTCTTTAAGTGAACAAATTGTTCTGCTAGCTAATTGTTTTTATATGGAGGCTTGAGAGCTTCTCCTCCCTGCGGTATACAGTCAAAGACTCTTATAATGCAGTGGGGAGTTTCTGTACACTTCCTGAACCCTGATAAGGTATAAACTCTTTCAAGCTCAATTGCAGAGGAGAAAAAGCCTGAGCAGTGGCTGGAGGTTGCAGCGATAATAGGAGTTAAGAGATGCCTCAGCCTTGCAATTAGGCTTGTGCGGGGAAGATTGATTGTGCAAGCTTCGTGCTCAGGCGAATAGCGTGATCAATGTTAGGGTGTCATCCTGTGAGCACACATACAGTACGATCACACAAAAATCCTGCAAACTGGGAAAGAGATCACCAGCCTTGGCTTTTCATTCTATTGCAATTCTTTGTTCAACCCAATGATTGTTTTAAGTCACATTCGTAATCAAAGCTCTGCAGGAAATTAAGGGCTAGTCTCTTGATGGCACAAACTGGGTAAAATTTGGGTTGCTCTTCACGCAGACTGATACAGTAGTTTTGTTCCTGATCCCTTGTTCACCCGTTTCCAACTTTTAGTTAGATTAATAGATGTTTTGTTACAATCTATTTTGTGATGTATGCATACTTGTGTAATTAAATTGGCGATCATTAAAATGATGATTAATATATAAAGTATATTGATCTTGATGACCTCTTGCTAGCAAAAGAACTGATTTAGCAGAGGGAATACAGGTGCATATCTGAATGTTTTGACATTAATGAAATAAAATGTGACAAAGATATATGAAAAGGAGTACCAAGCAGAAGAGCGAAACCAGAAAAATATACATGTTCAATTTTATTCATACCCTGCAACTATGCTTAAAATAAGTATTGTACATTTATTTCTTTATTCATCCATTCACCTTCTAACCGCTTTTTCAAATTCAGGGGCTCTCAACAAGCACTGGGCACAAGGCAGGGTCTACAGACACTCACATACTCATACCTAGTGCCAATCTTCCCTGAAGCCGGTTAGCCTAGTACAAACTCGCAAGTACAAATGGACAACCTGGGCAAAGTGGAGAGGTTCTGCCCAGAGGAGTGGTCAAGAGAAGTTGGGCACCCTATTAAATGGCTACAGGAAGCAGCTCATCAAAGTTATCAAAGCCAGAGCAAGGTCCACATATTACTAATTGCTGGGATATGGGTAAATTTGACAACTCAACAAAAAACATTGATATTTCTCTCTGCTTTTCAGCATGAAATTAAATGGTACTTGTTGCAGTGTTGACAGTCGTCCTAATTTCTTAGTTTTGGATTAATGTGTTCTTAAATTTAGTGAATGTGCACCTGTATTTTAACATTAAATCTTGTGTTAGTTACAATTGAAGTGTATGAATATGTATACAGTATGTACATACTGTGTAAATCAAAAACTTGTCCAAGGTTTATCGTCCACTGCTAGACAATACCTTTCCATGTGTAATCCAGTACACTTTTTTTGTCTATTTTCCCAATATACTCCTACAAACTTAGTTTTCATATGCATCTTTAACCAAGTGACCTTCATAGAACTCCTTGTACTGAAATGTTTAATCTTGAGTGACAGTACTTAGCAAAACAGTACACTATCTTATTTCAATCTTTTTTTTTTCCTTACCTCACTTCTAAATTCCTAACAACTGGGTGTTAAGAACCACATTTGGTAGTGGAAGGGATTAATGATTTCTGTCTTCCACAAATGTATTTGAGCATTTAAACTGGGATCAGGTCAAAAGTGAAATATTTGGCAATATAGCCATGATTATGAAGACAAAGAGGATAATTAATAGTATCCTTAAAGGAACTTAAAGGGCAGTTTGGGGCTTTTTATATGATTTTGTTTCACTTTGGCCTGAGCTGTGCCAGTTAAAGAGCAGTGGCAGAATGTCATCCACCATTTAAAAATTGTGCTGCCATTTTATTCCAATTATTAATCTCAAAAGTACATCTTTGTGTGGCTGTTTGGTTGTGTACACTAAATACAGTTATATTTAAGAATATATGCAGTCTTATGTAGACATGAGTTTTATACAAGTGCCCTTACAACTGGTTATCCCACGGATGTGTCTTCCAATTCCTTCCAGAGCCCTGTCCCTCCCTTCTGCTCCAGAGACACATGGCAGAGCTGTTGAGCCAAGACAAGGAGATGGCTGCCAGTTTCCTCAACAGCGTCCTCAACCAGCTCAACTGGGCCTTCTCCGAGTTCATAGGCATGATCCAGGAGGTGGTATCGTGTGTGTGTGGTTATTAGTGTCACAGTTACACTTGACCCCAAAATATTTACTTCATACACTTTGGCATCCCATTCAGAGAAACATGCTCGCTTGTCTGTCTTGTTAACACTGCTGAAAAGATGATAAGCTCTGGCCTGATAAGATTATGTTGCTCAGATATGGAAATTACCTGTCTGCTTAATATCACTTAAAAGAATGCCACCGAGACATATATGGTGATGCATCATTAAGACACGTTCAAGAATAATTTGCAATCAAATTTGTGATGATTATGAAATCAAGCCCTACTGCGCCTGCTTGGAAACTTTAGAGCCTGATAAGAGAGTTCCTCTCTTAAGTGTTATCAAGTGATAAAATAAATAATTCACCTCATGATAGATAATGATTCTGGTCTGGACCATATACTGTATGTTTTAGTCTTTCATTGTTGAACAGTCAAGATTCTTGTAGCTACTACAGAGGCAAGTAAGGATCATTAGATATTGTAGAAACCTTACAGTACTTCACGGATTCTTTAAAAGAATTAAATAGATTTTTATTAAAGTAGCAACTCACCACATTACTAGATTATTGATCCTGACAGTTTTTTTAAAGAACTTGATGAGCATCTCTAATCAATTAAGTGTCAAAATCCTGGCAGGTCTAGCAGGCTGAATAGCCTTTTCTCATTTGTAACCTTTTTAAAGATCTTCTGTTCCCAACTCTCTGGTACATTTTGATCTTGCAATAAAAAAGTTGGGAATAAAAATGACCTCAACAGGTTTATGTTTTTCTTCATTACTGGTCATGCTGTGATCAGACTTTATGGGCAGCTCGGAGTGCCTCACACAGTAATGGGAAGGAATTATAAGCCAGCAGGATCTCAGATGGGCAGTTTGTCAGACCACCAACCACAGCCCCATAAAGCCTTTATGCACTGCTGCCATCTGCATTATATGTTAATAATATGAAATTCTTCAATTTGGCATGCATCCTTACTCATTGTTTTCCACAGGGAAGGACAAAGAGAAGATCTGAGAGTTGATTTTATTAACGCATATTTGTTTACGCCAGAAAATGCCACTGGCATGCAATTTGCATAATTTTATTCTACAAACATTCAGCACTGACTTAATGAAAATTCTTTTGTTCGTCTCAAATTTTAAAATAACCTGTTTGTGTTGAGCCAGATTGTCTGCGAAGTGCACCTAAAATGAAGCAGACATGCCTCTGTCCAAATCTTTTTGTCTCAATTTTTGTGTTGGAGCGAAGAACGCATATAAATGGCTTTGCTAAAAATACAGTGCAATCGCTAATGGGGTGTATGTAGACAAACTGTATTCAAACAACTACACATACATATCTAATAGATCCACAGAAATGTGTTTCCTTAGAATGCATTGTATTTTGCTTTATTATAACTGGTACTGTATGTCCTCATGAGTTAAGATAAATTTATTCCAATTGCAATCAGACTTTTACCCTCCTGTGGCCCTGCATTCAACTTGATGAAGAGCAAGCATGTCCAGCAGCACTCTGAATAAATCTCTCCTTTCAGATCCAGCAGGCTGCGGAACGCCCTGAGCGCAACTTTGTGGACACGCGCCAGCTAAAAGTGTGTGCCACCTGCTTCGACCTGTCCGTCAGCCTGCTGCGTGTGCTGGAGATGACCGTAACTCTGGTGCCAGAAATCTTCCTGGATTGGACCCGTCCTTCTGCAGAACTGCTGCTGCGGCGACTAGCACAGGTAGGAGGTGGCGCTATGAAACCAGGGACCAATTTGTGACCTGGGAGGAACAAGGGAGTAGAATAAGACTGAAACAGCATGAATTGCAAGGACAGACTAGCCTACCAGCAAAGGGATTGCTCTGAATAAGGCCCATAAGATCACATGCAGATTTGCACTTACAGCTGGCGATTTTATACTGTACATAATTATCCTAAAACACAAAAAATCCCTTTGAGGAAACTGCATGGTGGGCGAGTATGTTAATGTTGCTAAGGCTTTGACACTGGACTTTAGAGCATTGTGTGTCATGTCTTCTTTTGCACTACAGGCAACCTGGTTTCAAAAACAGGTTCAGAAGGCCTTTTTGTTATATAATAGATGGTTAAACCTGCAAGTGGAAATCTGAACAGATTTTAAATTAACAGAAATTAAAGGTTATGTGTCAAGTAAGAAGTGAGAACATAGTAGATGTGATTCAATTTCCACTCTAAGCAACTCCACTTAAAAACTTTCTCCGAAGGGTCCCCAGAACTTTTTAAATCTCACCTGACCCTGAGTCTTTTACACACTGCTGCTAAAAGTGTGTGGAGTTACTGTAGCAATGTGACTTCAGTCAGTACTAAATTGGATCCCCAAATTCATTAATCAGATGGCCACAGCATATGTGTGCCTTACATACTGTTCTGTCCTGTGACTCAATACAAAATTGATTTTATTTAATTTTTTTAGATCAAGTGTAATGAAAATATTGAAACCTGACCACAGCTGCACCTGGTCAGCAGTTTTCCATCAAAACAGGAAAATCAAATTCAGCACATCTGTTAAATGTAACAATCCCTAATTAGATGCTAACTTAGATCCTTATTGTGTAATGAAAGAATGCTATAGTGACCCAAACCTTTCACTTATCACCTGTTCAGGCCTTGGTCACCAATTGGATTTGTTTCGAGAGGGTTTAGTATTTTTAAATTTGCATTATTTTTGTGCAGAACTGATACACAAATCACAACCTATAGAAAGTCTACACACTCTTTCCAAAGTAATACATTTTGTGCCCCAACACCCTAAAATTATTAAACACATAAGACACATCAAAGGTAAATCCATTCCAATTGATTTTATTTAAATTGCTTAAAACATTCTGAAAAGTAATTAAAAATCCAAACCTAGAAAAAATGGGGTGAGTAAGTATATATATCACCTTTTGTGATAGCACTGTAAATTAGCTCTGGTGTAACCAATTGCCTTCCGAAACACACAACAAGCTAATTAGCATCCACCTGTGTTCAGCTGTAGTGATTCTGATGTTTTCAGAATAAAATCATCAGTCCTGTTGAGTTCTGGCAGTGTAGATATTCTGTAGGCACTTTACATCTTGGGCGTCTCCATTACATCATCTGAAGTCGTGCAGAGCTGGCTAGGTGGGGAAAATGAACTCCAGCTGCATTTCCTCAGCAGCTGATTCCAGCAATTGTTTGCATTGCAGAGAGCCAGGGATGGGGTGCTAAAGACTATATTAACCCTGTGGCACTAGTGAAATAAAAGCAGGGCGTTCTGTTTTTTTTTCTCCTGATCCACTTTTTTTAAGGTTTTAAAAGTTTGTGGTTTTCATCCAGCTCAATTAATGGAAAATCATTGACATCAGAGTGCAGTGATGTCAAAGCACTATTTAAAATGATTATGGTTTTTGCCTGACCATGTCAGAAAACCCAAATTCTAAACTGTAACTTTAGCTGTAGGCTTAAAAAGCATTCAGTCAGATTACCTAAAGATCAACATCACCGAGATCCGTTGTCTTAAAACGTGGAAACTGAGATAAGTATAGAATCTGCTTAGTTTAGTTTAGCAAATTCCTCATCTCCTGGAGCTTTGGGAGAGTTCAGATTTGAATGAAGAGTTGCCTACCTGTGTTGTGGTATTATTGTACTATTTTAGATTTTAGCTTTTTAGATTTTAGATGACTCAGATTTGACTCAGATTTTAAATACTGTTCCATTCCTTAATGGAAAAGTAGACATTTATTTTAGACTAGTAATAGATGATCAGATGTAACTTTGATATTCCCAGAATGTATTATTCACTGTGTTCTACAATGGAAAAAGGTTTTCATCTTTGTAGAAAAAAGTCAGAAAGGCACCATTGAAATGCTCTGAGTTAATATTTTAAGTGCTAAATGTAAATATATCACAATGTGTAGGGAGAGGAAATTGGAGGCTTTTCTTAAGGCAGCCAATTAAGGTTTAAAGTTTAATGCTGGAACTCAACAGGATACCTAATGGGAAAGCTTGCAAATAGCACATAGCACTAGATTGATTTTTTTTTTAAATGTCCTTGTAAATGAGCAAACCCGAATAAAAACATTACAATTCCTTCCTTTTAAGCCACTATTAAGAGCGCTTCTGATTATTAAGTACATTAGATTATACCCAAGAGACAATTCCTGCCAGTACTCTCTGGTTTAGTAAAGAGTATGATGATGTGATGAGAAGATGACTTGTGGACAGGCTGAATCAGATCCAACAGCTTAAGTTGGACCTGGTCAGTACTGTGATTGGAAACCTATAAGGAAGACCAGGTTGCTACTGTGGGGCTAATCACTCTGGACCAAAATTTCCCATGTAATACCCCAGTATGGTGAGAAGGACAATATGTTGTAGGAGATTATGCTTCAAATGATGCGTCAAACCAAAGACATACCTGCTTAGTCATTAATGATCCCGTGATCCTCTTCATTAGATCAGGGCTGTTACTCAGAGTGTCATAGTTAAATTCCTTTTTTTCTGTTCTATGTGCACCATATTTTGAAATGAAAGTTGCTGTACAGATGCAAGGAATTATCATTTTCTGCTGTGTAATGTTTTGTCCACTGTGGTTTTGATCTGCAAGGTGTCCTCTATTTTGAATTATTTGGCATCTGCAGGTAACTCTAACCTAAGCTAAGCAGTGGAATGAGGCTTCGATTAAAGTCTAGCTCCTCTGAGTGACAGTCATTAGCCTGTTAAAATCTGAGTGTGTGACAAGATTCCTGGACAACCAACACTCCTAATTTCCTTGTGATTGACTGCTTTCCTAAAAGAGCCTCTTTATTCCACTTCCCTGAGCAGGGAACGTGGTGTTCTGTATTAATAAAGAGCTGATTCAGATCCTACTGTACCTATCCCCTTGGCCATTTTTCAATTACTGGCCCTTGGAACATCTATCACATCAGTTTTCTACCTTTATTTTAAAGCCTCCATGTCACAACTTTGAAGGTGGTTTGCAAGCCAGGTCAGCATTTTTAGAGTCTTTCTCTGAGTCCTTCGCAACAGTGCTGATATTTGTATACCACTGGGCCTCACTAGAAAATCGTAGAAATTTTATAGACGAAGAACAAAAACCTGGTGGTTCTCTCAGCTTTGTCATCCGGAGCGAAACTTGTTTACATCTTACTGAATAACAAAAGGAAATCTGTTTCAGCTGTGAAACCTACTTTATGTGTAGGGGGAATGGGGGAGACATCAGCAATTAGAGGTACAGAGAGCCATAAAAAGGCATTGAGGAAGGGCAGGCAAAATAAAAATAGGGGCCGAAAACAGATGATTGGAAGATATGACATTGCTCCCCACTCTAACATTTTTCTGTTATGTTTTTTAATAGAACAGTGTTATGTTATTATATTTTGTTAATGTGTTATTATATTTTGATGCCTTGTATTGGACCATTTAAAATATTAAATTAGTACATCAGTGACACTGCCTCTTCTAAATTCCAGAGAACATCTCTTGAAAAACACAAGAGTGCACAGAATGTGCTAAGGTCTTTCTTTCTTTTTCCACAGTTGTTAAACCAAGTGCTGAACCGCGTGACCGCAGAGAGGAATCTCTTTGACAGGGTTGTCAACCTGCGGCTGCCAGGTACTTTTCCCCTACAGATCCCTCCCATTTCCAATTGAGCAATTTGTGTGTACTGTATATGGGACACAACACCAATCTGAAAAAGGAGACAGCATACAACACTACACAATTATCTTGCTCTGTCTGTAAAAGAGGATGAGTCCTTTGGCCATATATTTTGAGTCTTAGTCTTCAACCAGGTGAAAATGGAGGAACTGTTCAAAACAGGACTGTGATTTAACCACTTATTGGAAGGATATACAGTAGCTTTATCATCATCTGTCTTTGCCAGTTACATTTCACAAAAATGTAACATAACCCTTATAGAAATGTGTCTGTGCAGAATAAAAACTGAAAGAACAACCCTTGAAAGAACAGAAATTCAGTTTCTTCAGGGACTGCCTGCAGTTGAAACTTCTCTGCTGCCTGAAAATGAATTGGAATGTCTGTGGGTTATTAAAAAAAATCCAGTGATGGGCATTTCAGAAACTCATTTTGTGTGACTTTGAGACTTCTTTGAACCTAAAGGATACATTTATCATACTTGTCAATATAATGCTCAGTTTTATGATTCATACCGTATGTAAGGGTATCACCCTATTAAACTGTCACACTCTCAGAGTAGGGCTAGTGTTTCTATAGTTTTGAAACTGTGTTTGAACAGAGAACGTACAGGGCACGTCATAAAGACAAATTCAGTTTGTCTTTTCCAAATATACATTTATAAAGAACTACTGCTAATCACTATATAAATAAACATCCCATCTTAAAATTAACCATTCAAAAACCAGTACAATACAAACATGTTGTGGAGGGATAATCTTACTCCCAGAATTCTATACATTGCCTTTTTTTCTCTCTTCCCACCACCAGCTACCGGAGAATTAAGAAAGAGAACTATTCTTTCTTTCCTAATGCTGTGTGTGCCCTTCATACTAACTCTGTGATCTGCTTCTTGAGTCGCAGAAAATGGCTTATGACACCATAGGGACATTGAATGCAGCTCTCCTGTCATTCCTCACTCATTTTTATATTATCTAATAATTAAAAAATTCAGTTTCAGAGCACAATAAAACAAGTGTTGCAGGATATTAATTCTAGTAAAGAAGTAGACGAACTAGCGCTTGAAAAGTAACCCTTCAAAGGCTTACTGTTATCCCAGTGGAAAAAAGTCAGACAAAAGCATTGCTTAGAACCATTTTCCTCCTTTATTTTTGGGCCATTTGTCACTTTTGGAAATTATATTAAATTGTCTAGGACTATAGAAACACGTCTCATTTTAAGAGCTAAGTATTGAAAAGCATCACTGCAGAGAGGCTGCTGTAGTAATCATCGCTCAAGAAATGATGATAATGGTCTTCCGAATATGTCTTGGTAGTGCTGCTCAATGTGTAGATCTTAAAACTGTCACATTTCCATCCACCCATCCATTCGATTCAGGGTCTCCAGGGAGCCAAAGCCTATTCTGGCAAGCAACGGGCACAGGCAGGATACCAGTTCATCAAAGAGCACACACAGACACAGACCAGGGCCAATTTTCCCAGAAGCCAATTAACCTACCAGTATGTCTCTGGACTGTGAGAGGAAACCAACAAGAACACAGCAAGAACATACAAATGTATGCAGATAGAACCCCAGGCCCTTTATTGGACCTATGAGGCAGCAGGCTAACAACCTATTGTGCCACCTAACTGTCACATTTACCTGTACAAGTCAATAAATTATTGTTGTGTACTACAACACATTTTGCCAAAGCTGCACTGGGTATAGTAACAGGCAAGGAAAATGGAAGAGGATAGGGACCTTTTTTCTGTTTCGAACTGGCACTTTTTAGCTGCCATTAATACAGTATGTGTTGTTACTGTAGTGCTGTGTTTCTTGGTTATAAAGTTACCCAAAACCCCTTTTATGGCAAATGTTAGCCCCCCTTAAAACAGTTTGTCTGTTGACTTGTCATCCTTAAGAAAGGCATATAAAAGGCTCAATGGTTCAACTCAGAAAGCAGGGTTTTGTAGCTAGGCTGCTGAGGATACCATAATGAAAGGTTTAAATCCTCTCTCTCTCTTTTCAGGGCTGGAGAGTGTAGATCACTACCCTATCCTGGTGGCTGTGACTGGGATTCTGGTGCGCCTTCTTGTGGATGGTGATAGTCAGTGGTAGGTCCTCTGCACATGAACACTTTGTGCTGCTTGTGATGTACAGTTGTGTACATTAGCACCTTTTGTGAAGGTCATCTCGCAGCTGTTAAATTCCATACTGTCTGATTATGAGCATTGTGAAACACCACTGTTTATGGCTGGCAGTGTGGATTGTGTAAAATGACACACCCTTAAGATTTTGACCTGTGGGACGCTTTTAAGAGAAAATGCCTTTTAATTTTAAACGTTCAACTGAGAGAATGTTTTTGTCTTGCTTTTACAAGATCTAGTAATAAAATGTCACTGTTTTTGTCACAACTTCAGTTCTTGAAAGCAGAGCTTTTCTGAGTAGCAGTCATTAGCCTGTTAGGTGTCCTGACTTTCCTTCAGGCTCAGAAATTAGTGCAAGGTCAAGCTTGTGCCTAATGATCAGTTCGGTGCTTTAGGGGGCTGCCGCAGTGTATGCATGGGGAAATAGCCAGTTTTATTGAGTTTGCCGGTGGAAGGGCATGCTAATTGTCTTCATCCGTAGAGGAGAATTAATTGTACGAAAGACTGCCTGGAAGGGAGTTCACAATCCTTTATCTCTTGAGTGCATTCCGCCTGATCCCCCATGGCGCTTGTAGGAAGAATAAGAAAGGAGGGCCTGGAGTGAGATTCATTAATCTTATCAGTGGAATGAAATTAAAGTCTATGGTCTGTTTAGTTCAAGAATAGACTTGATAATGGCCATAGCTTAAAGGAGTAATGTGCAGCATATCTGTTTTCCTAGTAATTCAGTACTGGTTTGCTGCATATTCAGTTACACTTACTGTGCATATAGTAACTTTCTGCTTTGTTTTTATTGGTGCCACAAGCTACAGTAACTGTTCCAGCAAGGTCTGTTGTAGACGTTGTTGACATGTACTCTGAAGTGGATAGTCGTAGAGGAACCTTACTTTATATGGTGTGTGTAAGTAAGGCCTGTCTGTAGAGGGTGTCACCTTTAAAATGTTCTAAAATGTTTAATATAGATGGAACATCCTGTTTTAACAATTTACATTTTTTCTTTTTTTTATTAAACTGATGAATGAATTACCGCAATCAAGGGATTGCTCTTTACTTTTAAGGGGACTGTATGTAAGACGTTGCTGATGGTTTACCTGAATGGTAATTATGCTAAAAACAGTAGTCCTGAGGTGTGTGAATTGGATCAGGGAAAAATAAAAGTCACTGTGCTCATTTTTCAGCATTTAATATGTGCCCTTAGAAAACTATAACTCACAAATAATTTGACAATTTGAAAATTAAAGAACCTTAGTTTATCTTTTGAGAGTCTCTCTCATGTTCCAAAAGTTTATATACAAATATATATTTTCTTCTCTTTTCTTATTTGGTGTGTTGGCCGTTATCGTTCAACCATATGCAAGAAATAGAAAACCGACAGTCATGGCCTCAGTTAAAAAGATTCCACAAAATACCTCCATGTGAACAGGCTCCACAAAAAGTTCGTGCTCTGCTCTGCTCGGCTTGGCTCAGGCTCACCATTGTAAAAAGGCTGTGAGGTGCTCAGAACCCTCGAAGTGGCCTAAAACTCATGGTTTGATATCAGCAGTCCCTGTGTATAAAAATTAGACTTCATGGGTTTTGAGCTGGCAGTGCTAAGTACTTTACAGTTGCTATTCCACTCTTCAACTGAGTTTTTATATGTGAAACATTAATGAGAAGCTGCAGATTTATTTCTCTGCTGTACTACATTGGCACAGCCACGTCGCTTAATAGTCTACCGTAATCGCCATGTGGCCCTTTCTAGAATAAAGCATTTTTTGGCATCGTACAGACCTAGAATGTCATTCCATGCCTGTGTTTATTGGCCTGATTTTCCTGTATTTTGAACTGAAACTGAAATGGCACTTGGTAAAGCTGCATGAAATGGTGATTTATTTGTTTGGCTTGTGTTTTCCAGCATAGGGATAGAATGATACTCCTAGCTAGTAATGGAAATCACACCATACCCCGGCACAGCCATTGACCATGGAAAATAATCCAAAAATTGATAAACTGTGGTGACTGGTGAGAGCCTGCAGCTGATCCTGAGGTTAGACCTGGATGAGCCTGCCACCCCTGCTGTGTCTTCAGACCTGCATCTGAGAAGGCAGGCATGGGGTTAACGTTGAAGCACAGGGCTGAGAGGCATTAACAACAGGATCTGCCGAGCCTGCGCATGACAATGGAAACTGATGGGGAGACTGATAAGCTGAAAAAAGAAGTTTCCCCAAGGAGAGAAGGTGACAGGACAGATTTAAATCAAGGGAAATGCAAGGAAATATAATGATCAAGGAGAAATTTGCCAGCTATTCGGCATTTGTTTTTGATCAAAAAGCTGTCCACCTTGACCAGCAAGTCTCAAGTTCCTGGACTGGGCTGCCTATGCCAACAAAGAATTGATTAAAAAAAAACCTGACAAGTAGTCCTTGTAAAATATGGGTCTTCCTAGCTGATTGGTCGTCTGTCATAATAGTTCCATAAAAATATTTTTCTAAATATTTGTTTTTCTAAAAAGTATGCTTGTCCCTAGCATCAAACTGAAGATTAAAGGTCAGGATTTCAGTTTTGACTTTTTTTTTTTAAAGAGGCTGATGATGCCTTTGCAGGCTGGACCCTAAGCTAGCATGTTGAACTTAAATACAATATTGGAACAAGATGTTAAAATTCCAACATTAATAATAATAATAATAATAATAATAATAATAATAATAATAATAATAATTGTTTACAATTATAATAAATGCTCACCACAAATCAGGTATCAGTGGGGAGGAGAGCAAAGTAATGAAGCCAATTCATAGATGGAAAATTTTAAAATTTCTAAAATTAGAAATATTAAATCCGTAAAAAACTGAGGTCCTACCACCAGTTTGATATGTAAGCAAATAACAAAAGTAATAATAATTACACAACCTACAGCCATGGAATACTGAGTGTAACATGTTTCCTTGCTTTTTCCTGCACAGATTGGTAACAAAGTAATAGCCAGGCAGAAAATTAATGGTATTAAGCATTTGTCCATAAAAAATAACGAAGTAATGGCTAAATACCATTAATTACACTAATACAAACATGCAACATTTCACAGCTGTATCCAGATATTTACAGATCTGCAAGTACAAGAGCTCTGCCTTCTATAGATGCAACAAAGCACAGAACTCTTGTAGTAATTGAAACACAAAGCCTGTGTCATCTGTGTCTTTTCCTGTGTTGCTATTCTTCTTTCCCTCTTTGTGTGCTTTCTTATTTTCTGTTTTTTTATCTATATGTCTTCTAAGAGGGCTGGTTTTATCATTTAACCAAGAATTGTTGTAGACCAAGTTAAAGATTTGTAGCACATTTTTACCACAGTGTGGTTACCTTGGCCTTTGGCTATTGTGACTGTGTCAAGTGAGATGATTGGGTAAAAGACGTTTAATTTAAAAATGATAGTAATCATAGGGTCCTTTTATGTGAAATTTAAACATTTAGCTACCACGGACATGCAACTGTATGATATCCATTGTAGCTACATTTCGACACACTCCCTTTGTATGAGCCACCTTAATTCAAGCACTGCAGTGTAAAAAAACCTATTGCTGGTTTCAAAAGATTAAGCATTTACATTTCATATGTTACAAAGTAGCCCATAAAAAGAATTAGCATAATTGATCCTGTAGACCTGCGGCTTATGAGTCACTGGACACAGCAGAGAGCAGGACTCATGATCTAAAGAGATGCTGTACAATAGGTAGTGCTTTGCAGGAGACAGAGCCTTAATTTGGAATACATTTAGCATATCTAAGTAACTGTTATCTGTTGAGTAATGTTTTAATATACATCTTATTCTGATTGAATACTGACATGTTAGATTTTCAAATAATTTTACAGACATCAATTTAGTTAGTCAGAGGTGTTTTCTTTTACTTTTCAATTTTGCCATGTTGAAAATACTACTGCATATACCATACTACTATATAGGGTGTGTTAATTAAACCGGCTGTGTTTACTACATGCAGGTTTCTAGGTCGTTTTAGGCTTGACTTTCCTGTTTCAATTTGAGTGGGTCTGGAATTGGGATATTGTTCCATTCCCATTGAATAATTGGCTGTCTTGTCAGAAAGTGGTAAAGGACTCATTTGTATGGATCATTTCTTCCTATGATAGTGGGATTTTGTCTGTCTTGGTAGAACTTTCTCTTACTATATTTGATGGAGATGCTAATCCATTAATATGGAAGACAAATGTAGTGTCAGGAAAAACCATAATATCTTTTGCATTTTTTTTATTTTACTGTAACTGTTTCTTCAAATCCTTCACGTTTTTCTTAATCTTATGCACAAGTGAATTAAGTGTACTAAAAAGTGATTAAACACAGTTTGAAACTCCACAAACAAAAATTGCCAGCAGCTATATCACCCTGCTAGTCACAACTGGCAGCCCACTGAAGCTAAGCAGGTGTGAGTCTGGTCAGTACCTGCATGAGAGACCTGGGAAAAATTGCGGCCAGTAGGAGGTGCTCACCCTGCGGTCTGTGTGGGTCTTAATGCCCCAGTGTAGTGATGTGTACTGTAAAAAGACACAGCCCTTCAGATAAGACGTAAAACAGTGGTCCTAACTCTCCATGGTCATTAAAAATCCCAGGGTGCTTCGCGAAAACAGTAGAGGTGTTTCCCCAGCGTCCTGGCCAAATTCCCCATTTTCCCTATCATGGTTTCCTAATAATCCTCATCTATGAATTGGCTTCATCACTCTGTTCTCCTCCCCACTGATAGCTGATGTGTGGTGAGCGAAATGGCGCACTCTGGTCTGCTGTCGTGTGGATGCTGCACATTGGTGGTGGTGGAGGAGAGTCCCCATTACCTGTAAAGTGTTTTGAGTGGAGTGTCCAGAAAGGAATTATTATTATTATTATTATTATTATTATTATTATTATTATTATTATTATTTAAAAGCTCATAGGAGACTCATGGCCCAGACCGGTGCTGTAAACAGCTTATACAGATTTTGTA